TGAATCCAATTCAATTAAATGAAGAGGAGAAGAATTAGCAAAGCAGAGTGTTTGGAGGTGAAAGACACTTGGAGGAATAATAAATTAGAAAGGGTATAATGATAGCCAGCCCCTCAGACAATTCAACGGCCCACGTGCTCCCCATCCGTGAGTGTTTTTTGTCTGTTTGTCACACACATACACACACACATCACAAGGTTAAATTTGTCCAATTTTTTTAATCACCAAATTTAATCATTAATATCTCACACATCTTGTTATTGATAATGTATTTTTAATAAATAAAACACCAGATAAAATTATTATTCGATTTCTTACAGCAACTCCAATGCTAAATATCAAAATTGAATTATCAAATACTAATTTAATATTTAAGATAATATTTAAAAATGTGTTTAAAACTCATCTACTCCAACCATGGTTATCAAATTTTATTATTAATTGAAAGTTTTTTGATAATTTTATATATAATTGTCACATGTCAATTGTGAATGATTAATTAGGTGGTTATTTTTTTGATAACTCAATCCGCAGGAAATATTTTTAGATTCAAAGAAGAAAAATATCAAAATACAAACTCATTTTAATAACCCCTTTGAAGAGCAATTTTTTTTTTAATTTTAGGAGTTAAATGATAGTTAAGAGATTTGATAACTCATTTAATAACTACATTGGAATTGTTCTTACTAGTTTAAACTGCATCACTGAAATCAAATCAAACTATTTGATACTCGATTTTATACAAATAAACATTCAAACAATATTTGAATATAATTCATTTAACAAATTTAATTCAATTACACCAAACACCTTTGTCCAACATTAGAACTTTGAAAGGATTTCCAATTTGTAACATTTAAGGTAATATATATATATATATGGTTTAGAAGAAGGAATACACGTGCACATAAGCATGCACACACATTTACACACACAAAGTGAGGGAAAACACACACACACACACACGAATACAGGACCACTTATTAATCTAAATAAGTAGAGTTGAAATCGAATAATGACAAATTGTATTCCAATAAAGTTTTAATTAATTAAAATAAATGTATTTGCTATCTTCCAAAAAGGGTATTAGTGAGATTATTTAACAAAAGAGGAAAACAAAAACTTAATTAATTAGCTTTGTTTACTTTAATTATATTCTGCCATCCCAAATTCATTATTATCTTTTCATTAAAGCATCATCCTAAATAAAGTTTTATATACTTCAATGATTTTTTTTCTTTATTCAATATAAATCAAATAAAAAAAACAAGAATACAAAAAGATATTTATATAAACATAAACTAGGAATAAAGTGTGATATCTCTTCCACATACAATATTTAGGAAAATGAATTGAAAAGGAGATGGTTTGACTCGGTCAAGGGGGCTTTATTGGAAAAGTTGGAAAGTTTTACCTTTCTTTTTGCAATTATTGGATAATAATACACCTGTTTTGTGAATAGATAAATTATAGCTGGTACATGAAAGTTGGCAACCATCAATAACAAGGTCCTACAACTGGATACACAAATTTTTCCAGTCCGTAATTTCTTTCTTTATTCTAATTATTTTTCAGTCCTCAATTTGTGTTTAATTGCATGTTGTAACAACAAAGTATGTAAAAATCTCAAATCTTCTTGTTCTGCTCAAACTGTGTTTTATGTACAAAAAACACCAAGGAAGCATAACAAACTCAAACTGTATTTTATGTACAAACAATGTTACAAGTTAAGACAACCTTTTTTTTTTTTAATATATGTATGGTAAACTAATATTAATAAACACATAGAAAATAGTACACAAATCTTGAAAATTTGGTCCAAAAAAAGAGTGTTCATCACAAATGCTTGCACAACTCATCACCTTCTTTTATACTCATCTCCACACCATCCTCTGCACTAAAACCAACATCAATCGACGAACCGGAATCGAGCCCGGGCCCCACTTGGATTTCTTTAAACATAGCCATAACCCTAATCATGGTGGGCCGCTTCGATGGCCGGTCGTCCAAGCACAAAGACGCGACCTTCAAATGTTCTAGAAGCTCAACCTCCAATCCGGGATCTTCTTTCACCAACTCCGGATCGAAAACATCGCTAACCCTAATCTTCGCTTGCATCTTAACCCACCCGACGATATTATTATCCCCGAAATCGGGCGAATCGGTGGGCTTTCGGCCCGTTAGAAGCTCGAGTAAAACAACTCCGTAGCTATATACATCTCCTTTAGTGGAGCATCGAAAGCTTTGATAGTACTCGGGCGGAACGTATCCCGGTGTGCCGGCTAACGTGCTCACGCTCAAATGAGTGTCCATGGCGCTCATTAGCCTCGCCATTCCGAAATCGGAAACCCTAGCCTCCAAATTCTCGTCGAGGAGCACATTGCTCGATTTCATGTCACGGTGGATGATATGCGGGATGCAGTTGTGGTGGAGGAAAGCCAATCCCCTGGCGGCGCCGATAGCGATCCTCCGCCTCGCGTTCCAGTTGAGCTTGATCCCATTTTTCTTCCTGTCGTGGAGCACGTCTTCTAGACTCCCGTACTTCATGTACTCGTAGACCAATAGCCTCTCGTCAGCGACACTGCAGTAACCTAAGAGCGGTACTAGGTTCCGGTGCTTGATCTTGCCTATGGTCTCCATCTCGGCGGTGAACTCCCGGTCGCCTTGGCCGCTCACGTGCTTCAATTTCTTGATCGCAACGACGGTTTTGTCCTTGAACTCTGCGCGGTACACGTCGCCGAACCCGCCGGAGCCTATGATGTTCCTGTCGTGGAAGCCGTTGGTGGCTTCTAGAAGGTCGGCGAACGTAAGCTTCCTCAACGGCTTCTCGAATGTCGAGAGGTTGATGCTCAACGCTTCGCGGGCGGTAATCTTCGTCCACGAGGCCGAGTTCGAGCGGCTCTCCATGTACACCTCGAGCGCCGCCTCCCTCCTCCTCCGCCTCTTCCTTGCCTCCAATGCCACCAGGACCAAGCCAAAGATGCAGAAAAGCGAGAATAGGAGCCCCATCGCCACGCTCCCCGCGAGGGACGCCTGCCTCCTCGGGTGGGGGTTGGTCACGGCCCGTGCTCCGGGCCTGCAGGGCGCGAGCGGGTACCCGCAGAGCCCGGAGTTGTTCGCAAACCGATAATCGGGGAACGTGTCAAACGGGGCCGATTCAGGAATCATTCCGGATAGATTGTTGTTCGAAAAATCGATCTCACCGAGGAAAGTGAGGCTAGTCAACGACTGCGGAATCGTTCCGTTCAACCGATTGTACGACAAATCAAGAATGGCCACGTTGGACAAACCCTCGAGCTCCTTCGGAATGGGGCCCACGAGGTTGTTGTGTCCCAAGTTGAGTATGAACAAGTAGAACATGTTTCCAACCTCCTTGGGGATAAAACCGTCCAAATTATTGTACGAGAGGTCGAGAAAGAGCATGGAGCCGTTATGGTTGAACGACGGTTGGATGATGCCGCGGTAAAGCCGGTCCAACGTGAAGTTACAAGGATGTCTCGACGAAATCCTGCCCAAATTCTGCTCACGAATCCCGCCAAACTCGAGGAGATTCCCCGCCCCGTGGCAATTCTTGGTCCCGTCGTTTCTGATGTAGACGAAATTCTTTCCGTTGAGGGACTCAACCGCAATATTACCCGATTGTTTGAATAGATCAGACGGGATTGTACCGTTCAAGAAATTCGTGTTGAGATCCAACCAAATCAAACTGTGGCAATCTCCGAGCTCTCCCGGAATTTTCCCCGTTAGCGAGTTGTTACCGAGTTTGAGAATCGCGAGATTCGGTAAACTGCCGAACGAAGAAGGAATCTCGCCGGTTAAGTGATTGTTGGACAACGAAATCCAGTTCAGATTAGTGCAGTTGCTTAGAGTCGAAGGTATCGAACCGGTTAAGTCGTTGAAATCAAGAATCAGATTCTCTAAGCTCTGTAAATACGAAAACTCCGTCGGGATTTCGCCTTCGATTTCATTGAACCACATGATCACATCCCTTAACTCGGACAAGAATCCGAGGTTGCGCGGGATTGCGCCGGTCAAGTAATTGAAACTGAGATCGAGCGATTCCAAATGCGAGCAGTTGATCAAACTTTCGGGTATTGCACCGGTGAACATGTTGTTCTGAAGGTAGAGCCTTTTCAATCTGTTGTTACTCCTTTCGCAAATCGAGGAAGGAATTGAACCGGATAAACTGTTGGATCCCAGTTCTAATGTCTCGAGATTCGGTAGCTCGGAGAGGGAATATTCCGGTAGAACTCCGGCGAAGTTGTTGAAAGACATTATCAGTGTCGTCAAACTGCTCAGCTTCGAGAGTGTGTCCACGGGGAACTCGCCGGAGAAGTTGTTGCCGGAGATATCGAGAAGCTCGAGAACAGAGCAGGAGGCGAGGTTTTCCGGTAGGGTTCCGGTGAAGTTGTTGAAGGACAAATCCAACTCGACGAGGGTTCTGCATAAATCAGATATATGCGGTGGGAAAAAGCCGTGGAATTTGTTCTGGTGGAGGTAGAGATACTTTACACTCGGAAGCTCCGGTACGGCGCCGGTGAGGTGGTTACCGGTGAGGTTGAGGAAACTGAGATTCGGACACGTGGAGAGGGAGTTTCCGAGTTCGCCGGAGAATTTGTTGGAGGATAAATCCAGGTGCTGCAGATTTGAGCAGTCGCTGAAAAATGGAAACTTGGAGGAGAAATTGTTGACGGAGAGATCCAAATAGATCAAGTTCTTGAGTTTCAACTGCGGCGGCAAACTTCCGGCGAGTTTGTTACCCTTTAAGGACAAGCTCTGCAGCTCGGAGAACTCGTCCGACAGAAACCAAGAAACAACGTTGTCGCCGGAGATTCTGTTGTAAGAAAGATCAAGAACGTTTAACGACTTCAGCCGCCCTGAGAAGCTGGTACCAGCGGCTTCTTTATCAAAAGGGCTCATCGAATTTTTTGAGAGATTGAGGAAAACCAAACCAGAACAAACTCCAAGAAGAGTGACGTCACCTGAAATGGTGTTTTCAGCTAGATCTAATGTGGTGAGAGAACTTGTGCAGGAGATCAATTTGGCCGGAGAGGAAATCTCGCCGGAGATATTGGCGTTTTTAAGAGAAAGGGACTCCAAGTTTTGGAGGGGGAGGAGAAAAGTAGCGACTGTGGAAAAGTCGGCGTTCAGGTGGTAGCCGGCAAGGTCAACGGCGGAAACTGCAGCGGCGGTTTTGCAATAAACGCCGCTGAAATTGCATACAGGGGTTTCCGGCCGCCAGTTCTGGAGCTCGTCGGGGTATAACGGCCGCGGCGGGAGTGAGTTCTTGAAAGAGAGGAGGAGCTCGGCGTCTCCGTGGACGCCATTCGCCGCCGCCGCCGCCGCGGCGGATGAGAGGGAAACGAAGAAGAGTAGTAATCGATATAGCAGATTCTTATCGGCTTTCATCTCTTCAATTATTTTTTATTTTCTCTCTCTAGGCATTCAGTTCAGCTGCTCTTTAGCTTCTTCCATTTTAGAGAGAGAGGGAGAGAGAGAGAGAGTTGATTGGTGGGATTAATGTAGAGAGAGAAAGAAGGTGGTGAAAAATGGAAGAAGGTAACATGGTGTGTATATATGACAGAGACAGAGCTGCTGGTCACATGGCATCTATAAATATAATGTTAAAGATCAATTTTTTTTTTCTCTCTCTATATGTATAGATTTGATTTAGTTTCTCTCTCTATACGTAATGGTTTAAATTGGGTTAATATTAGAAAGAAGGAAGAAATAATATTGATGTTTGAGTGTGTACGTGTGATTTAAGGATGGATGGGATGGATCCATCGTTGTCTGATTTTATTAATTAATAATGGTGATTCCGTAACACTTTATAGTTAAGCGTCTTCATTCTTTTGATCTTTCACCATTATTTAAGGCAACTATAAAATTCCTCCCTTTTATGGCAATCTCACTCTTTTTTTTTTTTTTTTTTTTTTCCTTTTTCTTTAATAATATATTAATTGAGGGATAAAATCGTCTTTTTTTGAAAAATAATTGTATGGATGGTGGTCGTGCATGTTTCTCAAGACCTCATTCCGAACGCGTTTCTATTGACTGTTGGAAAGCTCACTTAACAACGATAGACGTTTTGTGTGTACGGTTGCAATTATCCTAATGTATTTATGGAATATATTCTTTGTATCTTCCTTCTAAATGTCTATCAATCTGCTAGTCATCCGTCTTGCTCGTATATATTCTTCTCGCAATTCGCATGCATATTAAATAACGTGTCTCCTCTTTCATTACCGTGCCAATCAAAGAGCAGCGAACTTCTTGCAGATCATCTTTTAGCTCAGACCGTAAATTTGTTGGGCTTTTGGTCTCACTAATGCGAGTCCGATCCAAGCTCGACGAACTGACCCCATGAAGTAGAATAAGTGCTTATTTTAGTGGTTACTATCATATTATTGGCATGAGTTAAGTTGAATTTTGTAAATCGAATATCTTGTATAATTCAATTAATTAAGTATGATTGGAATTTAATTACACTTTAATTACTTAAAGGCAAACAGCCCAATAAGAATTCATGCGCAGTTGTGAATGGGCCCACATGTTCCGGCTTGGATGTTTCTGTCTTAATTGCATTTTGACTTATTTTATCTTTTCATTTTCAAATAAATTATAATTATTAGTTTTAAGGGTTAATATGCTATGGGCCCTTCAAACAAAACATAATTTGAACTAAATGACAAGTTTAAATCCATTTGTTTAATTAAATCCATAATTTAAAATAATATATGCCTCACATCCCTATAAAAAAATTAATTCCGATCTTACCCTTATACCCTAAATCTTATAAACTAATTATTTACGTTTCTCCGTCAGATCTATTCTTCTCTTCTTCTCTTCTTCTTCTGCGTCTCTTCTTCTTCTGCGTCTCTCTTTATCTCGTTTTCTCTGGCTCTCTTTCACTCAATTTCTCTCTCTCTCTCGCACCACTCTGTGATTGAAGAAGGTGGTGGCTATGGCGACGACCAAAGCGGTGGAGGCGGCGACATGGGAAAGGTAGTTATCAAGGTAAGTAAACGACGACGATGGGATGAGCCGTTGTGGTCGGCGGCGCTCGGAGTTCGAGGTTGATGCTTGCCAGCGACTGTGCTCGGATTTCGAGTGTGATGCTGGCCAGCGACGGTGTTGGTCGTCCGGTGATGTTGGGGAAGGTGATGGCGTCGTGGGTGGGGTGGGTGGTATCATTAGTGGCGTGGATGGGGGTGGGTGGTCGTTGGCGTCACGGATCTAGGGTTTGGTGGGTGAATCTAGGGTTTGGTGGGATGGATCTAAAAAATTTCGATTTGATGTCTATGTGTTACTATGGGTGTGTGGCGGCTAGGGTTAAAAGGAGTTGCTAGGAGGGTTTCAAGAATATGCTATCGGAGATGTCTATGGATTACTACGGGTTACTATGGATTACTACAGTTTCCTATGGGTGTCTATACATGACTGAGAGCGATTTTTTTTTTTTTAATTCATAATTTTTAATATTACGTAGAAAAGAATGGAAAAAATAAATTCCTAAAATACTGAAAAAAAGAATACGAAAAATGAATAATAAAATAAAAAAGAGTAATGTGTTCTACGTAAAAAAAATGTTCGATGCAAAATGAAATGTTAAATGCATAATAAAAAATGATCAACGCAGTATAAATATTACTTGATGCAAATTTCATATTTTGTGTGTGGAGGGTATTTTGGGGATGAAATTTATAAAGGATGTGAAGCAAATGTTTTGTTAGACTTGTCATTTAGTTCTAATAAGTTTTGTCATCAAGGACCTATATCTTAAGGCCCCTAGTTTTAATTAGAAGAGTCGATACATAGCATCTATTATTAGCTTGGAGCTTTATGGTTCGAGTTCTGCCGCACCCTTACTTCCTCTTTATAACAAGAATTGAATTTCTAAACAAAAGAAAATGTGTTTGAATTTTATTATTTCCATTGTAATTATTGATATTTAACATTATAAACCAAATTAGAGACTACAATTACAATTAAAATTAGAAAATAAAAAGAATAAGCATAAGCTCACCCGACACCATAGAAAAAATAAGTGGATGACATACCTAATCCATTTCTAGATCCAAATTAATATCCGATAAATAATACTTGGAATTATTATATTGTTTAGATAAACGAAAATGACCTAATTAATTTATGACCACATGTCTCACAAATTATAATAATTATTTTTTAATTTTTTTAAATTTGGATAATCGAATTTTATCTGATTAATTTTGAAGAGTGAACAATTTAATTTATATCTCATTTATACTTCATGTAAATTCAAATTCTATTATTTCAAATAATAATATTTTTAATAATAAATCTTATCTTATAAGATGAGGATGAATTTCTTCTTTTTGTCCTTATTTAAGGTTGGTTTTAACTTTTAATCATTATACAATTTTAATATTTTATAATATTCTCCCAAAAAAATAATAAATAAATAAATAAAGGAAAAACGTGATACCACTCACTGCACTATAATTGCGGTAATAATATTAATATTATTCCATACATACATACATCATATAATGCAGATTGCAGGGGTAGTACTGTAATTCGGGTCCACAAATTCAATCGCAACCGTAATAAAGTTTGACGGACAAGATTGAATAGTGACTTCACTATTTGTGTATGTGACCGTATGTCGTGTTTGGCAGCACTAGTAAATCTATTCACACTGCAAAAATATTTTCTTGATCAATTACAATCTTACCCCCATCTTTAGTCCATGGAAAATAATCAAAATATATAGGTGTATACAGTATGTAAGTTTTCTTTTCTCATTACAAATATTGAATTTTCGATCTTTGATTTTTCAAAAAAAACAAATGGATCAAAATTGGAATTGAATTTTCACTATTACAAAAAAGTAATTTTTTTTCTGAAGTATTAGTTTCGATTTGATCCACTAGATGTCCACATTTAAGAACATGCAAAATAGATAAAAATAAATGACGAGAAAAGAAGGTGAGTGCTATTATGTGTAGATTAATAATTTAAAATCACTGACTGTATTTCATCAATTATAGCATCTACAAAACTCGAAGAAAAGAGAATAAGAAACGGCGGAGTTTATATTTTATGTCTTAAAGAATACAACATTAAAGTTTAAGGGGAGTGGTTAGAGAAAAGGTGAGAAAGAGAGAGAAGAATGGCAATGATAGGATGATTAGTGATAAAATTTTATTATAATCACAAAAGATGATAATAATTACTAGCACAAAAAATGATGACTATGAATCTCTGATAACATAATCAATGAGCATTTGAATAGTGATTTTGGTGGGCCATGTTTATATTGGGCTTATTTTTGTAAATATTTTTTAGGAATTTTTATAATAAAAGTTGGCATAATGGTGAGTGACCCATAATTGGATTTTTACGATTAAGTTGGAAGTTGGAACAAAAATTTCAATTTTCAACGGTTCCAATTAGAAAGTTTTTAATTGAGAATAAATTTTTTCACTCCGACTTCTGAAAATCTGATTTTTTGGTCTTAGAATTTTTTAATTGAAATTGGAATTATATAAAAATAAATTGATCCAATTTATATATATATATATATATATATACACACACACACATATGTATTTAATGAATCCCACAAAAATAATTAAAGTTGAGCCCACACAGTGAAGAGCATTTTCAGAGAGGTATCTTTCTTTCATAGGTACATATAAATTACAATAGCTGTATTTTTTGTTCCATAACCGGTTCGATTTGACTTGTCATCTTACCAACTTACACTGCTCTATTTATATTTATATTAATATTAATATTAATATTAATTTACTATTATATTATTATTATTGTTATTAATAATACTATTGTTATAATAATAATAATAATAATAATAATAATTGAAGGTAGAAAGAAATGTAAATTTAGAAAACAATATATCCAACATGTGAGATAGTCAGAGCAGTTCCGACAAAGTAACATCAATTTTCAAAGTTCCCTAACTTTTATATAATTTTCTATTCACTTTTTCAATAATTATTGCACTGAAAACATTGTAAATCGAATAAGCACTTACAACAAACTTATCACACAATCACTAACTTCCGCTTTTGAATAAACTTTTGCTAACACCACCTTAAGCAATGAATATAATATGTCGTCGCAAAATATAAATTAAAAAAAAAAACATCCGTACTTTTAAAAGTTCGAGTGTATAAATTTTCTTGATATAGAGCAAACTAGACTTTCTCATCACCCTCGTTTGATTTAACTAATCCGATTTCGACTTCGGATTTATTGATAGGCAAAGATTGGCTTTTTTCTTTGCCGCCGGGTTGAGAAGATGCATGGCCGTACCAAATCATGCCCGCTACCGCAAAAACCATTCCCACAATTACGTTTACGTTAAGTCCGTTTTTAGCGAAGAAAACGAACCCTAATGTCAGTACTAGAATGGTCTTCATGTGACCTAGTACTTGAAACGAAACCGCTGTGAATCTGCCTATGCATATGAATTGGCTTAGATTCGTTCCTATTGCAATTGCACACGATAGTGTTATTAGCATCTGCAAGAAATCGAGATATTATCGGTCATTAACAAAATCGAGATATATATAGAGAGAGAGAGATTCAAAATTTAGATAAAATCTGGTGTCGTTTTTCGGGGTGTAATATATACTTACAACTGATGTGAAGGTATAATTAAAGGCATCGACCCTCTTCTCCGTCAACCAATAATCCATAAACGGACCCAAGATCAAAAGCGACGCAGCTTGTGGTGGTGCAGTGTTTGCTAGTAAGTCGAACGAACCAATCGAATGCTTCCTTTGCAGAAAGTGAACATACTATAACAAAACAATAATAAATTAAAATTAAATATAAGAAATCAAACGACACATTATATCGATCAATTGCACAAACGGATTTTTATTTTTTTTATTTTTTATTTACAACGTTAAACGAATCTATAAATAAGACTTACATATTGCTGCATAGAAGTGCTCCAAACGGCTATAAAGGCAGCGACAAATCCTTTAGCATTGACACTCACGTCAGTTACGGTGCAGATGCCCACACCGAATAAAACCACCAAAATGCTTAGCTTTGTGTCCCTCGAATATCGCATCTTATCCAAAACGACTTCTAGAAGACACGCCACGGGTATCATGCTCAGCTTTGCAATCTAAAAACGGTTCATTAACGTAGCATACAGATGAGTTACATGAGTTATATTACCGGAATCATTTTAGATTCCCTAGAATATTCTGTTCGAAAAAATTCCAATTTTACCCCTCTGTGTATGGTGTCCTACTATTAGACAACAAAAAAAAATATCAAGAACGAACCTGATAGAAGCCGACCGAGTTCCACATTAAACTCACGTTCATTCCGACTATAGAGAAATTCGCAACAATTACAAATTTTATAATTTCGATTGTTGGAAGATGAGAACTTTGTATATATCCGAGCGACCTTAGAATAAACGTCATCACTGTTGTTGCGGCAAAATGTAGGCCCGTTAAAGTTGTCGCTGCAAAAAAAATATATATATATATCATCAATCAAACAAATCAAGAAAATCGAAAAAAAACTAAGAAAAATTGCCAAAAAAAAAAAAAAAGAAAAAAAAAATCGTACCGAAAGTGAAACCATAAGTAGCCATTAAGGCTTTATTGACAAGAATGATTCCAACGGAAGTGACAATATTAAATATCCATGCAGCTGCATCGAGGCCCGCTTTGTTGCCTGTTGTAGACATCTTCTTTTACTGCTTAAAGAGTCGCAAATTTAAATCGATTAATATCAGGACCAAATAGTCGATGAAACAAGTGAACTATTACATATACAAAGACTAAATTCCCACAATAAATCTCGTGTTCGTGACAACATTTTGCAAACCTTTAAAACAAGAAAGAAATCCCCACACATTATATCAAATTCAAATCCATTAATTCCTCTGTATATCAAACAAAAAAAATCGTCGCTCATTCGATTTGAAGGCTCGTGTGTAGATTAAACAGCAGATGTGTGAAAGAAATGTATAACAAAAAAAAACTTACAATTCAAATTCTTTCTTTTTCCTCTTCAATTCTCCAGTGAAAAAATAAAAATAAAAATAAAAATAAATATATAGTAATTCCCTTGCATTATATTTATGCAATTCCTCTTAAATGCATAATAAAATTAATACCTGCTTTTTTTTTAAAAGGGAAAATTAATACCTACTTAATGAGAGAGAATCCCATTACAATAATTAAAACAATAATATAATATAACCAACAAAAAAAGGAAATTCATAATTTTTCTACTAAATCTGATACATTTTGCCAGCTTGGCATAAATTACAAAAACCCCAACACAGTCAACAATTTCAAGATTCAAACTTTGATTTCCACGCGCTCCAAAATCACAATCACAAATCAAAAAATCCCATCAATTGAACAGCATTACACGATTCGACAAAAACCCAGAAGTAAAATCGACCAAATTGAAAAAGGAAAAAAAAAACCCTAACAAAAAAAGAGGGATTTTGCAACTTACGTATGTGCATATATACGAGGATTCAAGTATGGTGGAGGCTCTTATATTATGGGAATTGTATGTAAAAGCATGTGTGCGAACTGTAGAGTAGAAGATGAGTGTAATTAGGAAAAGGGGTTTATTGATTATTAGTTCCGCCATTGCGAAGAGACGTAGAATTGAGAAAGGAATCCACCTCGCTTGTTCTATACGTATCTGTAGAATATTCAATACCCGAATTAATCTTTCACTTTGCACCCTTGAAATATTGTTTTGCTACTTTGCACCCTTGAAAAAAAATTAATGGCGCTTCGCACCCTCGAAACACAATAACTTATTCACATTACACTGTGAATTAAATATTTATAATTTAATGACGGTAATTTCAATTTTTTTTATTTCTAGAGTGCAAAATAAAAAATTAAAATTTTATTTTATTCTACATTCAACATAAATTCGAGTGTGAATATGCAAAAAAGAAGAAAGAAAAAAAAATAACAACGAATTATCGAAAAAAACTATAATTTCTTGCAAAAATAATAAAATATTTTCTCCCTAAATTGTTCGATTGATGAATCTTTTATGGTAATTAGTGAAAATATTTGGTAAAAATATAATCTTCAAATAATTTGATAACAAAATAGCTGAAAGATTTTTATTGTTGGCTTCTTAAAAAAAAATTGTGACTTTTTTTTTTTATATTTTATAAATTGGTGATATGAATTTTTATGTTTGGACTTTGTAGTTTGAAAAGGGTTGATATAAAAAAAACACAATAATCTTAAGTCAATTTTAGTAATATTTTATAAATATAGGGTAACAAATTAAGAATATATTTTACCAAGGGTGGAATGTAAAAAGACTCGTGAATTTTACGGTTTTACCTGCATTCAATAGGCAATGCCACATGTCATGCCACGTGGCTAATCATTTGTACAGCTCACCCTCTCTCTCTCTCTCTCTCTCTCTCTCACACACACACACACACACACACACACAAACAGAGAGAGAAAGAACTCGTTTTTCCGTCTCTTCTGTATTATAAATCCCTCGTTTCTATCTTTGCAACATCCTTTTAGCCACACCCCCCCACCCACCTTCGTAGATATATACATATATGTATCTATACCTAGGGTTTTGTTGATTTTTATTTCTCTCTTCATCGAAATCAAATTCCTGAATTTTTTACCTCAATCAATGGGGAAGAAGAGGAAATCCGATGCGTCGCGGCTGGACGAGGTGGATCGTGGCATGTACACCACCTTCTGCAGCGCGGCAAACTCCCTTTCTCAGCTGTACACCCACGCGATGCACCAGCAGAAACTCTCTTTCCAGGCCGGCGAACGCCATTCAATGGTCCGTTTCACTGATTTTTTTTTTCAATTCGTGCAATTGGTACATAGGTTTTTTTTTTTTTTGCTTTCGTTAATTTGAGCTGTACGGGTTTGTGAAGATTGCTGATTACCTGAATTCGTGCGGTGTAGAGTGAAACAAAAAGCTAGGGTTATTTGTTGTTGCAGTTTAGTCTATGTGAATTTGATTTTAAATTTTGATGGGTTAAGTTTTTATTTTTTAGGCTTAAACGGCCAAGTATATAGCTTTTGTTGTGGAATAATGTGGTTGTAGTCATTAATTCTTCTGTTGTTCTTTTCATCGTTTGTAGGAAAAGATTTGCAACTGGATTTTGAGACAGCACGAAAACGGGGCCAGAGTGATGGCTGGTGACATACTTGCTTATATTCAGGTACGGCAACGAAGCTGCCTAGCGTAACTCTGTACCAGTTCTCACTTCATGTTGATTAGTGCAAGCATATATAGCAATAAAGATTTAGTTTTTGATATGAAAAAATCAGTATATGCCCTTTTTGAATCAGAATTGGGGTAATGTATCTAAATTGCTCGTTATGTAACATGTAATCGTGTTGGGTGTTGAATTCTGATGATCAAGCTATAGTTGATGAATGATTAGGATTGTGATTATTTTAACTTGATATATTGGCCTGATGGAGTTTCTGTGTTTCACCATCATCATTCATCAAACCTGAATGGTTGTCTTTTGACTAGTGATTTTTTTTTAAATGGATGTGTTAGTGTCTTGATCCTAGCGTAAAGTTTCGTAAAGATATTTTGCAGCTAATCTTATAACTTGAATTGGAGCTCAAGGACTTGTTAAATGTCTTTACTTGTCTCTGAGCTCCCATGACCAATGTAATTGCTTCTGTAACTGTTAAGCTATGTAAATCACGTGTGGAAAATAATTATTTGTATTCAGTTCGTAGTTATTTCTATTAATGGTGATGATATTACTCGAGGACTATCTTCCTTGTATATTGAGTGCTGGTCATTAGGAGTTTCATGTCATCATTATTCGGCTTATTTACTTTGTTATTTCAGTTTTTGGTGGTAGTATCTAGCATTGCATCAACTGAGGCATATTCAGTCAACATAACGATTTTTTTTATTTATCGAGGCTACAAGTTTTAGTCTATATATTTGAAGCAAACATGAGAACTCAAATGCTCTGTACATGTGACAACACTAAGATTGAATTTTGCCTGCAACCTGCCTATCTCTTCTCCAAACTTTTAAATGTACTCATTGCATTAGTCTGGGAATGCTTGAAGAATTTTTTCTGTAACCTGAACATTTTATGTCGTATTCTCATTTTTTCAATTATAAGGATAATAATCCTATTTAGATGTATTTTCTGTTTGGTGATGTTTCGATGTACCATGGAGTGATATTAAAGATGTAAACTTTCTGAATCCTGTGTAAGGTTATATACGTTTTAAATTCTTAGGACAAGATAATGCGGTATTAGGTCATAAGTAGTGTACCCAAACTGAAAGATGGCCAATGAGACCCAATTTATTTCTTGATTCATTAGATGTGAATAGGGTCCAAAATAACGAGATATGGAAAAAGAAGGTCCAGGTACGCGTATTCCTTATCCTTAATGGAATGGTACAATGTGGAGATCCTTATGCAAACATCGTATCTATTTAACTTTGAGAATGTATATAATCCTGTTCTTGCTTGGTCCAGTGTGGAATGAACTTAGAATCGCAAATGTAATCTGTAAGATCTTTTTGTTATGAGATACACCACTCCATGACTATGGTGACACATATTTTGTTGTCGTCGTCTGTTCATTGCATATTCTTGTTGTAATGAGAACCCTACTTCCTAAACTCTAAGACCTGGTAATCAGAAAAAGATTTAAAGCGGTTTAAAGCTGATATGCTGAAAACTGACATACAACAGGGTAAATTTACTTAAGCGTTTCAGTGTTTTGTTTTTTGATGATTTTAGACACTTTTCGTACTAATAATCCAATCATTTATCGATTTTCCTCTCTTAATTGGATATTAGGATTCACCAATTCCTAAGTGCACCCTTCTAATATTATAATGAATTGCAGAATGAACTAGATTATGCAACGGAGGAACCTCCGCCATCTCCAAGGCTTCCAGCTCAGCAGCAACAGCCGCCACCTCATTCAGGACTCCCCATATCTTCCAATGCATTTGGTCCTGCTTCTGTGGGACAAGGACATCGTTCAGGTTCAGGTAATCCAGACCAAACTAGAAGCTCCTCGGTTTTCTCAAACGCCCTGTCTAGTCCAGTTCGCCGGAGCCTCCAGAACTATCATTTACCACAGGGAGGCTTCTCTGCGAACAATCCTATGCGGACCAATGAGAACAGCATTAACCAAATCAGAGATACCAATCCTCCAAGTTCGAACGACACTTCAATGGACATGCACGGGGATAGCCCTGGTCATGATTCTCCTTACGGGAATTGATCGTTATTCAAGGAGTCGAGCGTATTTATCGAAAAGGGTATGCTTTTATAGTTAAGGTGGCGTTACGAGGGTATTTATGAAAAAAGGGGGTCTGTAGTAATAGTTATGATTTATCTTAACGACAAAATCTGTCGTGCAGAGGTGGCCATCTGCGAAAGTGGTGAACAAGCTCTAAGAAGTGTCCCAAACGGAAGGATTTCATAGAGCTTGAAATAGATTGTGGCTTGTAACTGTTCCCGGGTCCTTTTTTTTTTTTTTTTTTTTTTTTTTTTTTTTTCTAAATCGTGATGATGTTTTATCTATAGTATTATTGTCTTCACGAGTCTTGAAAATATTGTCAGCGTGAAAATATTTTTCTATATATATAGTTCAATAATTGATTTAGTTTTTTTCTTGGGGGTGGCTTTCATCTTCTTTTTAAAGTTTTATGAGAATGATCGACTGCATGTTGGATTTAGCTATTGCCATAATGTTAGGAATGTTCTTCTTTGAGTGCCTAGAAGGGGGATTCATGTCGCGAGTTCGACTCTCGTCAATGAAGATAGGTTTCTTGCTTTTCGAACTAACGGGAAAAGAGAGACATGCAAGTTCGACTCTCGTTCCATCCATCTATGTTCAGCAGTCGTTGTCCATGTTGGAACTGTTTCTGGTAGTAGCGTTCAACTACGAGATCCTTGAAAGTCGATGTATCAATGTTCCCATCAGTAGCATCAAACGGTGAATAAAGGCGTTCAGGTTCTTTCAAAGGTATGGATACCCACTGGTCCGAATGATCCTTTAAGAATGGAACTTAGGTATTACAAAAATGTTAATGTAAAGAACTTAAAACAGAAAAGCTATTGAATAGCAAAACTTCAACAAAGAAGAAGGTGCTTAAGCTTTTTGCTTACGGCTTCGTCACTTTTTTTCTCGTCAAGAATCCACGGGCGGTGGCAGGTGGCACCAACAGCCCAACACAAAGCACAATTACGGGACCCGTAAAATGCCAAGACACATTCAATGCGGTAGTACAACCAGAAGAGAGAGAGACTAGAAAATATAAAAAAGTAGCGTTTGGAAAACAGTCGAAGTCTAACTACTTCAAATGGGTGGTAAAGATCAAAGCAAAAGAATCAACTGTTCAGATTAGTTGGGCTTTTTGAGCTGTTGGCCGCCTCATAGGAAACAGCATTAATGGGCTGGATTCACTAATTCACTTGGGCCAAAAAATCCGAAAAAAATAAGAAAATGCTCTTTACGGTTTAACTATTGCTATTTACCGTTCAAAGCAAAAAACAGTTTATCTCTCTAAAACCCCTAAAATTCGAAAATCTCTCCAAAACCACCCCATTCCAAAATTTTCAGATTTTTTTTTTTCGAAAAACATCAAATTCAACCAATTTCAGGGCTTGGGCTTCGATTTTTTCAGGTAATTTCAACACCTACATGTGTTATATGCAATGGGTAACTCGATTTTGCAACCAATTTCATGTTTAAAAGCCCTACAAATCGATTTGTAGGGCTTTGAAAATTTTCGGACATAATGCACGAACGCCCAAGTCGGGCGCCGGCTGCCTGAACGGACGCCCAATTTGGGCGTGTTCAGGCAACCGGCGCCCGACTTGGGCGTGGAATCACTGTACGACGGGCATTTCATCATGGGTTTGCGAGTTAGTGGAATTCGCCCTAACGTTTGGATGGATAAGGCCGACGCGATCCAGCTTGGTGCGAGAGCTTTCGGGGTCGACCCCGCACTTATGGAGCAGTGGTGGTATGGTGGCGGACCCCGGTTAGATGATTTGGAGGTGAAGTATGGCGACAATTCTACATTTCTTTCCGCGTATCGGGTACGAGCATATATTGCATACTTGCTCGGAAAGTTGTTGTTCGTGGATAAGAGTGGATCGAAAGTTGTTGTTTGCCACGTACCAAGTACAAAAGCCGTGCCACGACGCCTACTATTGCCGAGACATCTTGAAGCACGACGCCCCACATTCATGTTAATGTGCCAAAGACATAAGAGATGAGGTACGGTCGGAAATACATTCTCTAGCGCCTTTATGAGCCCTAACTCTCGATCAGTCACGATGGCACTAGGTAGAGTCTGAGGGGGGAAAAGTCTCTTCAGCTTTTGCAACACCCATGTGTAATGGTCTTCATTTTCATGGCGCAAAAATGCGACTGCAACAGTAAAATTTTTCCCGACAGGAGTAACACCAACAATCTCCAACAAAGGCAATTTGTACTGATTGGTTTTGTAAGTGCTGTCAAATAGTAAAACGTACGGAAACTTACTTAACAATTCGACAGATTGAGGGTGAGCCCACATCAAATCAATAATTGAATGTGTTGTTTCATCAGTACGGAACCACTTGTAATAGTTATGCTCCTCAAGCAACCCAATCAAATGTTGCATCACTGTACGGTCACCCCTAGATAGTCTTTTCAATTTCGCCTTCTCATTGTATATTTGTTTCGAATAAGCATCGAGACCCAAACCATTTTGTCTCAAGTTAGCCAAAATCTTCTTGGGCGGCACATGACTTTGTGACAGATCACTAATGATCTTCGCCTCCTCCTGAGACAATGCACTCATCCCATGCCCGGACTTGTATATCGGAACATGATTATGCTTCCCGTATACTACTCTGACCTCCCATCTATCATCCCATCGTAGCTCTCCGACAATGTGAAAACCACAGCCTATTTTTTTGCTACCGGTCCTTCTCGGGCGCGCGTCTGGGTTAGTTGATGGACATTCTCGTTTTCCCCCGTATAGGTCACAAGTCAAAAAAATCTTTTTTTTAGGACTGCTTCTTTTTACTATTTTCACAAAAAGACCTCTTGCAACGAACCTCACCCAAACCACTACCTCATCATTCGAGTCAAACAACTGAGTAGTGGTAAAATAATCGGTATGATCAACTTTAATTGTAGACGTATCGTCCTGAAAAAAACGTAAAAAAATTGATTTAAAAAAAAAAAAAAGGGTTTAAAACCCAAAAGCCCAACTCGGGCGCCCGACGGTGCAGTGCACGCCCATGTTGGGCGTGCAGTTGGCCTACAAACGCCCGGAATGGGCGTTTAACAGCCAACTGCACGCCCAACATGGGCGTGCACTGCACTGTCGGGCGCCCGAGATGGGCTTTTGAATGTTTAGCCCATTTTTTCCGATCGAAAAGACGGAATTTTTACCTCGCTGTGTCCGCTATCCAGATCTTCATCCGATGAACTCATTTATGTTCGTATATCACACCAATAAGAATGATTTGTGAAGAAATCGTCTTGAGAGTGATTTTTTTTAGAGAGAGAGAGAGTGTGTCTTTGAACGGTAAATAGCAATTTTCAAACGGTAAAAAGCAAATCCCAAAAAATATGAGGAATTTAAAAAAAAAGAAATCGAAAGAAGAAAGGTACAACTCCTTAATGCAATACTATGACGTGGCAATATGTCATTGGTCACAGACTTGAGTGCAGGCTAATGCAGTTTGTAGGATAGCACAAATCACAATTCAGAACAGAAAAAAAAAAAAGAAAATCTATAAACAAAGCTATCCCATCCTCTTTCAATTGAATTCAAATCAAACATCGAAAATTTAAGGCGGCGACTCATCTGCAAATTATTCCCGCCACCGCCGAATCCTCTAGATTCACACACACACACACACACACACACACATCTGCACCTGCTACTGGGGGAGAAACGCCTCTTTTCATGGTATGTCAAGACCTTCGCGTACGTATATCTGTTGCGATAGACATATATATATATATATATATCTATGTATGCGTTGTGTTTGTGTTTATGCGTGTGAATGATATGTTTATGTAATTTATCTCTTTTTTATATCAGCTTCTGTTGTCTTGGCATTCTTAATTTCAGAGTTTCTTTTTTAAGCTTTCGTAGATTTGATTTTCCTGGGCTGAAATTAGATTTCAGCAAACTCTGTTCTGAATTTTCGCCAATGCAAGTTTGATGATTTTGCTGGTTTGAAATGAAAACTGGAGAAGAAAATATTTTATGACGAATTGATATCTTATATAGCTGTAGTAAGTTCCTATGCTGTTTTCAATTTTTGTTGTCAAAGTTTCTTTCGGAGATTGCTGACTGTTGCGTGGAAGGCGTAAAAGCCCTAATTTCTATTGTCTTCTGTCTTTCTATTATTTTATTGTTAATATTTTTTTTTGGGTGGGTGTGGGGGTTGGGTTAAAGGTTTATATGGAAATGATTGCGAGTTCGATTATTTGGTAAATGTTAAAATAAATGGGTGCGAATGGTAATCGCCCAAGAATGCGTTGCAATCTACACAAAAATTATGCTGAACTTGGCTGTCTTAATTGATTTGACAACCCTGAAAAGAATTATTCTGATTTGATAAATATGAATGACGTTGTTCTTTTGGCTTGGTATGAGGTCGTCTTTTATGATGAGGTAGAGGCTACATTGAGCAATGAAGCTATGAAGCTTTTGGTGATGTATCAGTTACATGAAAATGAGTCAACCAACCAATGTGCTTTGTTTAAGAATCTCTTTGCAATGTTGTCTATAGAGAGGCTTAGAGATATAAATTAACTTCTGGGGGTCCATCTTTGTACCGTGCCTTATCACATTTATTTGTCTCTTCTGTAGCTTTTAGAGTATCTCTCCTCATTGGGTTATTACACCATTTCTGGTTAGTTGCAAGGAAGTGTGTGAAGTTCTGTAAAGTGCAATACCATGCACGTAAGTGACTTGTATAATAGATACCAGCCTCTTCCTGTCAATGGAACTGTAGGCAATATGGAAGTCGTGACTTATTGTTTCGGTTAATGTATGTAATTATAGTCATACCATAATTTAGAGTATTAGTTTGGTTATAATTAGATTTTCCTTGTGTATATTTATTCTCTTGTGTTTGTATATATAGGTGCCTTAATTGGAGAAGAATACACTCAAAATATTCCTCTAGCTATCGTAATTGTAACAGTTTCTTATTTTGTGACTCTTTTAGCCTTTTCTCGTAAGTTTTTCCTTTTCTTTTGTACAATAAATCTGAAGATGCTTTGTTACACAGAGATGATTTGTTGCTAGTCTTATGATCCCTATGCAACTAAGATGAATTAATTTGCATTGTTTTTTTACTTGGATTCTGAAATGGGATCTAATCCTAATTAGTTTCATCTGCAGAAAATCTTCCATGAAGTGCTATAAACAACAAAAGAGAAAGAGAGTGGAGATTACAAGAAAGCAAGATGAATGCACGGGTGTTTCTGTAAAGAAATCTGCAAATGGAACTGGTTGGGAGCGTCAGAAAATTACAGGTTAGGTAACTGGATATGGCTACTAGTATCGTATGGTAGCTTGCTGAGTTTGTTCCTAGATCTGTTTGTTTGATATTGAATTAGCAACGTAACTTTTTCTTCTAATCTTGTGGCAGTTTAGCAGTAGAACAAAAGATTGGTATGAAACATTATTCTTCAAGTAGAATTTTGCTCATTCTATGAACCTTGTATAACGAGATATAAATTGGTTATGCCAGAAGCATTCACTTTATTCTGTAGAGTCCATCAGCTTTTTGGTTACATGCTCTCATATAGTAATGTGTCTATTACAGAAAGTACGCATTTGGAGCCTCAAATTCAAATACAGGTTCCCTCTACAAAGATTAAACTGCAGCTTTTCCCAATAAATGAACAAATTCGCCTGGGACTAGAGAAGGTACGAAAATACCCTCTCCACCTACCTGCCAAAGTAGGAAATAGATGACAGAGTGCCTTGCTTTTTGGTCCTTTTTTTTGTTACAGGATGGACGCAATCCATTTTTGGAACTCACTCTAAGCGCTCGGAAGAAGATATCATCAGTGGTTAGGCACCTGGATACTAAATGGGGCAGTTCAAATGTAGCTAAAGGACTACTCACGCTTTTCCCCTACAATACAAAGTTGGAACAAGTAGCTTTGTGCAAAAGATGGACTTTGAACGATACTGCCATTACTGCATGGGAGGTTTATGTTGATGTGGGCAGTCCTTCGGTTTTCCGCCTAAGGTTTGAAACCTGCTACTTGCTTCCCTCCAATGACTATAATATCAGAGTTCCATAAAGCAACATATATGTTTTTCTTTCTAGGTATGGCTGGTCTTCCAATCTTCAGCAGGAGATGTTTGACATACCTCCTAAATCTAGTCCTCTCGAGGCTCATACAAATTCTGACGACAGAAGGAGAGGCTGCAGCAGAGGTTTTGAGATCCCAACTCATGAAGAGGAAAAAATAGCCGAATCTCGTGCGACCACTGAAAAGCAAATTAATGTGAATGAAGCTTTAGGTTCAAACGTGAGTAAATCGTTACATGTGCTAATTGTTACATGTGGGCAGACCATGTGCTAACTACAATCCTCGTGTTTAAATTGTTACATATCTGAATTTGTTACAACTTTTCCTGAGTTCTGACTGATGGAGATTGTTCGATATTAAACATGTCAATTTGTTCTTGTTAGGATGATGAGCTGGCAACTGATGTTGTCCCTGTACACTCAACTGTACCATGGGATGATAATTGGACCAACTTGAGCATTGGAGGCCTCCTATCGGAAATATCTTTGCAGGGAAAAATTAACCGATCAGATCCGAATTCTGTGAACAAATCTGTCATGCCGCAAGTTGAACCAATATCTGAAATCAGCATCGGCGGTCTGCTGACTGAAGCATCTTTATTGCGTAAATGGAGCAATCCTAGCACGAGACCTGAAAATGAATCCTCAATGCAACCTATCTTTCTGGCATCCAGTGATATAAGCATTGGGGGATTATTCTCTGAAGCTTCTTTACTTTCAAATCAGATTAAGTGTGATAAACAAACTACGGGAGCAAGCCATGCACAGTTTCAATCTCCGTGGGATGATAATTTTACCACCTTAAGCATTGGAGGCTTGTTATCTGAGGTGTCGTTACAGGCTAAGGCTGGTGGAAAACCGGAATTAGAAGAGAGTAAATCAAAGTTATGCAACTCGTTCGATACCCAACTAAATGCACATCCCCAAGTACCAAAACAATCGTGTCATGAGCCAAATGTGTCTATTTTGGATGCTGAAGAAACATGCCATGGTTTTCCGATTCGGAAACTTCAACTGAGCAGAGACGTCACAACTTCAAATGCAGGTGCTAGTTCAAGTGGATTCAGCAATGTTACAAGCTCAAAATTGTTCCAGTTTTCTAAGGTTCGTGTGGCACTTTTTTCTTAATAGTGAATTTTGTTTGGAAAACTTTTTAGGTTGTCTTGTTTGCATGATCAATATGTAGAACCATGCAAACATCGAAAACGAGACAAAATCAATGCTTACTGGTATACTTTCTCAATATTATCTCAAGGATAATGTCCTCTCTCTTGGTTTTTGTAGATGGAAAAAGACACTATATTCCCTAATATACTGAAGACGAACCCTTTGCCTCGTTCCGAAGGAGCCCCCGATGAGGACAAAGGACTTCGGCTTTTCAGGCATCCATCAGGTTTGGTACTCTTGTCTTATCAATTGCATGCCCAACTAAATTTTGTGCAATGACTATAGCCACAAATCTTACACAGCTAACTGACAATGACTTTTTGTGGACCGTTTTATTCTTTAGCTACTACCTTCATGACATGACAATGGAGCCGGTGGTGACAAAATTAGCACAATCGAATATGTCAAAATTAAATAGCAGAATTTTCATGAAGAGTGTCTTGTATTGAGAGAAGAAAGAAAACTTCTAAGCTCGGCTGTGAAATTCCGAAGAATCGTGAGACGTGAAATTGAAGTGAGTGAAGCCACACCATCTAAAAAAGCTCACAATTGGCTCCTATTCTTCAGGATCGAGAATTCTATTTTTTTTTTTCCATTTTTTTTTACCCAAAGTAGATACTTAGAAATATATGATTGGCAGAATAATTAGCGTTCACAGATTTTGCGGCCAAACACTTCGTTTGGCATTTCTATACACTTCTTCTTTATTCATTGTATCATTATAGCATATTTGATCGGATTTTCTGAATGGTAAATGTGTTACATACTAACTCTTTCATTTACTGCTATAATGAATTTGCTTCATATTTTTCGGACACAAAACGTGCTCCTAGAAATTATTGCCGTCTTTTATGATTTTACTGTAATAATTGATCTGCTGAAAATACACTTGATATTGTTATTTACCTCCACAAATTGGCTCTTGTTATTCATTTGCTCAAAATACAGCATAACTTCCCTAATGCAACTTCAGAAAGATTAATCAACACAGAGAAAAGACCACTCCCAAAATATACATACATATTTATACATATCTTCAATACAAAATTAAAGTTTTCGATAGTATCACACACTTAATGTATGCCACAAAGCGTAAAAACCCCACAACTTCTTCTTCTTGCCCTCTCTATTGCTTCATGAATCATCATAATATTTGTCTGAGAATTTGTTCTTGATCCACTTAAAGCTGTTTTTCAACGACGATTTGAACTTACCTTCTACGGCAAACATGTTGTAGCCAGCCACCCGTTTCCTCCTCTTGACCTCCGGATTATCTGCGGGCCCGTTGAAACTAAACGACTTAGCCCGATCTTCGAAGTCGAATCGGGCTTCGGCGTACGAGGTGGAGTAACTATAAGGGAATGATTTGCTTTTGTCCATGGCAAGGAAAAGGAAAAAAGCCTAACTAGGGAGAAACACATTTGTACAAGAGGAGAGAAGCATTTATATATGGACCACATGCAAGACAAAATATGTGCGGGCTTGCATGGGCCATATGAGTGTGACCTCATCATCTTTTTGAATATGGCAAGTTTTTGGTGAAGATTCATGTATACTACTAAATCATATACAAAATTGTGATTTTTTTTATTTTTTTTCTAAAATAAGCATGACAAAAATTGGTGTATGAGAAATTATTGGATAAACCATATAGGAATACTTGAATATTTTCATGAAATGATGATGCAAGTGTTTCTGAGAATGCTATATCTGGTGTAACGCATTGGATGGTTCTGAACCGTAAATATATATAACTAGTTATCCATTAAACACACATACATATGAGTGTGTGTTATTACGTGTAAATTAATGATTCGAAATCATCCGGTATTTCGTGTATTTCACTGAGTGTAGCATCTACAAAAGCGTGAGAGATTGAATGAAAAGTTGGGTGGTTGAGGCAATAGGAGGTTATAATGGGATAACTCAAACAAGTGGTGGGGTAGGGCACTATCTAATTGTCATGGGTGGTGGGGCCTACTATAGTAGGTTAGTAGGGTCCAATGGCTTAAATATTGACAACTATGGTGGAAGTGCAAATAAAACTCCACTTTAAAGCAGGCAAATGGGGTTGTTTTCTTCCTTTAATTAGTGGGCCTTTTGTGTTTTCTGATCACTATCTTCTAAGGATCGATATTGCAAGTGTACCTGGATTACAATTAGGAGTGGAGATGGCAAATCGAGTCGTATACGCATGTGCGAATCGTACTGTGTTTCTATTATCGCACCACAAAACATAACAATACAGAAACGACTAACATCGATAAAAATACAAAACATCCAAAAAAACTAAGATCACTTCATTCTCGACTATGATCACGATCAAAATGATCGGTAATCAACAACGAAACACGAGCATGAATTTATATTCAATTTACATAACATTCGAATTACTTACACGGATCGCACCGTGAGTTCCTATCCTCGCACCACAAATGGCCAAATCGAACCAAAAGCTGACATAATCATCAACGAGTTGAGCAATACCCAACAACGAAACACAATGCAGAACAAAACAATCTTAATTAAAGTGAGAGACTATTTTCTAGGTAAATGTATGCGGCGGATTTCTTTAATACCGCCTTTAATACGAAAAGGGTATTTGTGTAACTTCATCTCGTATTAGGCTAGGTTAAAGCACACGAATGACTTTTAGCAAATAGTACAAAGCCACTTGTTCTGCAGTGTAGCCAAACATTTAATATTTCACAAAATATAAATCAAGAAATTTATAAACTCGAGTTACTAAGACAACATTCAAACAAACATTTATAATATCTCAAAGGAGATGTATATACATAGACATAAAACTGGCACCCAAACATGATATATGTTTGATTACAAAACATTTTCTGACATGAGGAGACAAATAGAAACCAGACTGCGCAATTGGAACACTGGATATGAAACAAGGCTACCCACAAAAAAAAATGTGTGGACAAACAAAACCTTAGAGAACAATCTAGAAATCTTTTAAGCCAACTTGGATGAGCTGGTCTGGATAAACTATGCTGCACTACACAGTCTCGTATATGGTCTGATCTTTTATCACATTGCCCCACATGCAGACTAATGTTTCAAATCCACACACACACACACTAGAATGTGTCGTAAGGAATGGAGGAAATACTAACATGCATAATAATAATAGTAACCAAGTACCAAATTGGAGGTCAAGAAGTGGAGTGATTGGTGAAGAAATCAGCTCCGTTTTCAACATCGTCTGTTTTGATGTTTCCGGATTGAGCCATTAGTATTCTGTAGATTCTCTTTGAACAAACTTCGCCTAGTCGTCTATCATCGCTCAGCAAGGCTTCTGTGCTTAAATCCTTGAGCAGAAACTCTTTCTCATGCACCTGATGGTTTTGTCATGATATTATTATTATTAGACTTTCATTTCTCAGGAATATTGTTCAAAGAAAACACACAAACACACATATTAAGCAAAATGGTGGTGTCTATGGGCTACGAGGAGGCAGAAATTTTGTCAAAAGTTTTGTTTTAGCTCCAGGAACCTTTAGTTGAAATAAAAAATAAAAGACAGTTCTACGTCACTCTTTTTATTTTTTTATTGTGAACAAGCAAATCAAATCAGAGGTTTAATCTGGGTTAGCACTGGTCATCGGTGATAAATATCTTTCCTAGGTACAAAATCATTAAATTTAACATAAAAAAAACTTTCTTTAAGACAGTGAAACTATAAATTGTCGCATCAAAAGTGGGAAGCATATATCTCTCACTCATATGTAAGAAGACTCACAGATTTAGTAGAATCCATGTAGACACTCAAAAGAGATTTCATTGTAGGGTATTTCTTCCATATAGCTATTGCAAATCGTGGTTGCACCTTAGGGATAGCTACCAGCGCCTTTAACCTGCAAGATGTAATAAGCTTATATGTAATAAGCTTCATAATTGCTACCGCGCCAATAACTATTAAAAAGAAGCATCTCTGTGAAGATTAATTGGTAATAACTAACAAATAATAGACTTAAAGAAATCTGATCTTCATAAGCCTCACATTTCTACCACTATTATATGCATAGCATTAATTTAATTCTTTCTAATTACAGAAATCAAGAACCTGATCCCAATCGGGATAAATTTATATTGGATAAAAAGAACACACTAATGTAACAACTGATCCTCTTTTACTTGACCGAACATTAGTTAGGTTGTTGGAAGAGATTTCTCTTTCAACCAACAAGTCATATCTTACTACTTGAAGTTCAAAAACTGATTTTTAGTATAAGCAACTCGACTAGCATAAACATTACTCAGTTATATCCCAACTAAAACAGTTGGGAAGAGATTTTCTACTAGAAACCAAACACTATAACCACTTCTTGAAAGATAATTATACATTTTTTGAAATTGGAAAACACTGACCACAAAGCTAAAATGTGTATTCATGTTGGAATCTAATCATTTCGGAAGAAGTACTTACCATAAGTTCTTCTTAATTAAATTCTTATCAATGCAGTCTTTAGGGATTGCGGATCCATTTGCATTAACTGATAATCGTGTCAGCTTTCTCCTGTAAAAATCAGAGCAAAAGGGATGAAGTATACGTCCACAGTCCATTTCAATGACAAGGCTTATCAAGGGATGCTTTGAACCAATGAAATTAATTGTTTCAGCTAGATAAAATTCCATTTGTGTAAAGCTGAGATATTACCGAAGATATCACATGTCCTTTGCATGTCAATGCGAGTACAAAAGGTGCAAAAATAAATCCCACATATGTAAAAAGAACTCTATTTTGGCATTACGAATCATTCTTAGACATGTGGTACATAATTCATATTGATAAAAACAGCATTAACACAAAATTTTGTTTATTCTCCAAGATTGAGCACAATTTTTTGGTTTATCCTAAAAGTTTAAACAGAGATATGGATCACCTAAACTGGCAAGAGGCAAGGCTGCAAGTCAGACCAACAACATGTTCAGCTAATTCAGATTCATCCACACACAGCCTTGAACGTACTTTGGAAAAATGAGTGGCTAGTTTTGTTAACACCTGTAAAATAAAATTAGTTTCATCATTTGTACACTTCTCTAAGGAATAATAATGATTTAAAGTACCTCTTCTATAGCAGGTCGCTTCCAACCAGTGTAGGTGGCAGAGTTCTTGTACTGTGCTTGTTCCCTGTGTCAGTGGCGCCAAGATAATAGTCGCCAAATTCAATTTAGTAATTTAATCAGTTAAGGATGAAAAATAGAATTTAAGAAGAGCTTCCACGAAGAATTACCAATATTTAAAATTGTCGTTTAGTTACGGGTAACATAGAAAACAATACAACACCAACAAGTCTGTCAGGTGATTATCTTGTGTAGTATGACGCCAACAAACAATATTTAAAATTTCAGTGTTAATTCAACAGCACAGAGCTCCATCTCTTTAAGAGTATAAATCAAAAGTCAACTAAGTCATAGAAACGAGAGTGCTGACCAAGAGATTAAAAAAGGACAAAAGGCAAATAGGATAGAAGCTACCTCTAGATATACTTTTTCCCCACTTGGAACCTTCATTAAAACCATTTATATTTTGGGAATAAAAATCTTATAAGCTTCCCAACAAAATAAATTACAAAAAAAGGAGATATTTCGCGTATTATAGATACCAAATGAGCATTAGGTATCAGCCTGTGCTTGAGGGAGTGGGCGTTCCGGAGGTGCAGTACACAATCAAAACAAATGCCAGAACATAACAAAGAAGCTCCACTAACCTTTTATTGATGTAGGCCATAAGCCTATTTGTGACATAACAAATAGTGTGATGTGGGTAACGATGCTGAACACTCTGAACATGACCCACAAGAGATTCGTTCATGACAAGTTTACAGAACTCTTCCGCTTCATATATAATTACAACATAAGAAATCTCTGTTTTTTCAGATGCAATCTGCAATATATTCATGAAAATTTCAATCATCGCTGGAATTTGTTAAGATTTCAATGTAACAACAACAATACTAAAAGAAGTGCCAGCCTACCATATGCCAAGGTATTACATTAAGCTGGAAACATGGAATGTCAAGAAGGAACCAAAGCATGTTTTCATGCTAAGTTGCAAAAGAGTTGTTTTCTCGGTGTCATAATACATAAATGATTTGAACATTAAGACTTTAAATCACGAGCAAGGAAAATAGACTATACTACACCATCGTATTACAAATGGATGTTACTAAAACGAACTAAGGGTTCCAAATGCGTATTGTGCTCGATACTAGTGCAAGTATTCTCCTCGAACGAAAAATTTCTCAAAGACACATAGATTTACTAGACAGAACCTTCCCAGTATGCCACAAGATGAAACCAAGAATTGAAGACTCTGACCAGTATCTTGTAATCTTATAAATCAGCATAGTTCATTACTTAAGATCATCAAGTCTCGTAAACATTTCATATTTCACATATGTGCACATGCTTTAAATGATCCCAAATTTTTATTTTTTTAAATATGCTTTGCTTACTGAATCGAATAGATTGTAAAAAAGAAGAAAAAAAATAAATTCTCCACAAGTTTTATTGCCACTCTATTTGAGTACCAAATATATTTTTTGGTTCGATTTTGGAAATTATTTGGATAGATCATGGTTTCATTTCAAATTTTATTACATCATGATGAATATAATACATGGGCTAAAATATTAAATGGGAAAAAACTTAGTGTTAAAACTGGAAAATATGCATAACTCTTTAAGTTCAAGAACAATTTCATGTGTCTCACTTGGACCTGAATTTTCCATGATACTTTATGTATATATGTAATAGTACATTGTGTGAATTAGGCAATTTGAACTAAATGCTTCAGTACTTGATATTAAATCAGAAATAAATGAGAACATGAACAAAATAATGTTGAATTGTTCTTAAAATCAATTCAACATTCTTCATAAAAAATAAGAGCAAATAAGAACCATGGCAAATTGAGTAACTGATAATAGCATAAACATTCTTCATAAAAAAATTCCACCCCCAATTACTTGTAAGAAAATAATTACCATGGAAATTTCTTCAGGAACGACCATAGTCCACACAATAGTTCTTTCCACCGGATTCGACGTTATACGATACGAAAGCCCTTTTTCTGCAAACCTTGTCAGGAGGTGTCCTAAACTATAAAAAAAAAACTAGCTTAGTTACCTAGCAAACATGTGAGTATTTTTTAATAGATTACGGCATTTATGAGTGATTACAGCAGAAAAATGAAGGAAGATCCTACCTCCAATTGATCCCAGTTCTACCACTTTCTTGTCAATTTCAGCAGTAATGGATTTTAGAGCATATTTACCCTTCTCCCATTTCTGCATTTCCTTCTCACGTTTCTTTATCTCAGCAGCTTCTGCCTTTGAAGCAGCTTTAAGCAACTTCTCTCGCTGCCCCAGAAAAAGCCAAAGTTGATCAAATATTAACTGTATCAGATAAATGAGGGAAATACAAGACAGCGTTTATATTTAACATATCCATATGTCGTTTTGTGTAGTCCTTACTTCTTTGAGCTGTTTCTTTTCTTCCATTAACCGAAGTCTCTCCTCCTTCGATAGCCTTGTTGAGTCCATTTTTACATGTGTTTTCTTTCTTTCTTTTTCTTTAATGCAGCGTTCCCTGTTATCTTGATGACTCGAGATTTGACTTGCAGTGTCTACTTTACTAGCTTTGTCATCAAATATGTCGTTTTGTGTCCTTACTTCTTTGAACTGTTTCTTTTCTTCCATTAAACGAAGTCTCTCCTCCTTCGATAGCCTTGTTGATTTCATTTTTACATGTGATTTCTTTATTTCTTTTTCTTTAATGCAGCCTTCCCTGTTATCTTGATGACTCGCAGTGTCTACTTTGCTAGCATTGTCATCAAAGTCATCAAATTCCTACAGAGATCTTCATTAAAACCACTAGAATGATATAATACATAAAATAATAATTAAAAAAAAAAAAAAAAAAAATAAAAAAAAATAGGACAGATCATTGGTTAAAACAGTTTTGGCAACAAAACATATAAATAATCACGAATGAAAATCTATCTTGCAGATAACAATAGTAGAAACTTGTGGGCAGTAAAAGATGCTAATCCAAATATTTGGGATGGTCATAGCAAACAGGTGAAGCGATTACAGCAAATATACTAGTTCAAATTCTAGAGCAGAACTCCAAAAATGGCCTCTAGCTCTGAACGGTGAAGTAATGAATTAATTTGAAAATTGGAGCAGTGAGCGTATACAGCACACATGTTCTGATAAATGATAACTCCAATAACCTTTAAAGTCCTCATTCAAACGAAAGTTGCAGATATGTTGCCACAATTCTTCTGATATTTATATAACTTCTAGTTGTGATAAATACACAAAATGGAAACATAAGAAGCAGATGTCTATTATGAATATCTAAAGATCACAATTTCCAGTTGGAGAGAGAGATATTCAGTTCTACGGGCACGATTTGGTTTTAACGGTGTTTAACATCTGCAAGGGTATCTTTGCATGCTTGTGATCTTCAACAAAGGAAAAAATTTAATCATCAAAGATATAGGTGCTCCAATTTCTACACAACTAAATTTCAAGGTAAACGATAACTCACATACATTAGAACAACCCATCACGTATATGTCATCTTCCAGAGAACCTGAACTTGAACAGTCTTCTAACATGTGCGTCTTAACTGGACTCTGCGTGGGTTTCTTCTGTAATTGAACGGAAGTGCCTGGAAATCGATTTTAAGCAACATAAAAACTATGTATTTCTCACTTTGTGAGTAAAATTGAATTCATATGAGAATATAGTATAAAGAAAGAGATGAACAACAGTACCAACAAAAAGTGTCGACTCAACAAATCTGGAGTCACATTCTGAATCATCCGTCAATTTGGCAGCAAAAACACTTTCACTATGCTTCCGTTTTCCCAATCCACCAATATTTTCAGACTCACTATCTGACTCCACGCATATCCGTCTATTGATTTCTAAAAGAAATCATAGCAATGATTATAAAGGCTTCATATTAATGAGCGGAAGAGAAGTTACAAGAACATCATACATGTTCATCAAGTTGTTAAAGAGGCAATGAAAGGGACCATATCCGAAACATTTTATCAACTCCATAAAAATAGTACAAGTCAAAAAGCATATTATTTGCCTATAAATGAGCTTTAGCGCCTCTTGAATTTTGTGGAGATTCCCAGAAGAACATTTTCCAAGGAACAAAACTTAAAGAGTTTAAAGAAAACCATTGATTAATTCGAGAACGGTACATATTTTATCTCAATTTAATTAATTCCAAACAGAAACCAATTGAACTCACCAACAAAGGTATTCTTAGGGCTCGAAGGAGATGCATGATCACCGTTGGGTGCTATTGCATTGTATTTGGTGTTTGGAACTTCAAATTTCAAAAGCTCAGACATTGGAGTGTCAGCAACTATAAGTTGCTCATTAGCCAAATCTTCACCTAAAACAATAGCAAGCCAATTAATACAGAAAACATACAGCATATTATCAATTAAACACAACAACTCAATCATACTTTAGAAAAAGACGCTTTATTTCACACGCAAAGCATAATGCACAAAAGTGAAAATACAAAGAAGAATTTCACTCACGAAAGTAATCTATGGATGGCTATAAATCAAGAGACGAAAAATGCATCATTTACCACAAACATGCCTAAAGGTCCCTTAGTTTTTAGTATTCCTTATTTATATAAAAAAATACATATAAACAGCATGACGTCTCAAATTCCCATTATATAACAATGCTGCAAAATTAGATAGGATTTATGATATTAGAAAAGGGCCCATTGTATTCGAAATGAAAAACTAGTAGTTCGTTTGCATGAAATTGAGAGGTCTAGGACTCTCGATTGAATTTAGCAAAGGCACATCCGAAAATTGCCATCTTTCTAACTTGGAAATACAGATTCCAACATGTACGAGCACTAAAATACAGTAATATAACATAAACCAATTGAACTCACCAACAAAGGTATGGTTCGTACTCGAATAAGATGCATGATCAGCCTTGGGAGCTATTGCATTGTATTTGGTGATTGGCACTTCAAATTTCAAAAGCTCAGACATTGGAGTGTCAGCAACTATAAGTTGCTCATCAGCCAAATCTTCACCTAAAATAATAGCAAGCCAATTAATCTAAAAACCATACAGCATATTATCAATCTATCTGACTTGGGAATACAGATTCCAACATATACGAGCACTAAAATACCGGAGAAAGAACTTTTCCCTCTGGAACATTTGACTAACGCGGCATCGGAGAAGGGTGTATCGGCGACGAACAGAGGAGCGGAGGAGGACGTTGGACCCGCCGGAGACGGATTATTCTCACACGGCGTGGGATCATCGTCGATAATGAAGACGGGGGAGTTACTAGGGTTCGAAAAATAATCTAGCCGCGGCTTCTTCTTCAATTGAGGGAAAGGCGGCGGAGTGGTAAGGTCTATGGTGTCGTTATCGAAATTCCTCCGCCGTATATCACCGGATTCCGTATCGGAATCGGAGAGGATGTCTACCGGAATTGGCTGCGACATTTCTTCGCAGAAATTCTCTCTCACACACACACACACACAGTGGAGAGTGTGAGATTTTCTGCTTGCGTATTGAGCCTGCATTTGTTGGGCCACATTTGAAATAGTCCAATAATATTTGTTGGGCCGAATTTGAAATGCAAACATAAATTTATGGTCAAATAATTAAGAGTGGAAAGCAGTTTGCCCTCTAATTTCAAACAAGCAGTTTTATGGACTCAAAGTTTTGATTACATTTAAGACTTGAGAGAGATGTGATTATATTTTAGGGGAATTTATGTAAGACGTAACTAAATGATAAGGGTAACTACACATTTATTTCACATTCTTTATTAAATTTATTCTAAAATTGTTTTACACATGTAAATAACAAAATCTATATCAAGTAATATTTAAATTGTATTTAACATTTTTTATTCTGCATTTAATATATTCATTTTTGTTATTATTTTCTTCTACGTAGAACGCAATTCTCTTTGTTTTTTTTATTTTTTTATTTTAGTATATTTTTCATTATTATAAAAACCTAATTGTTTTTTCCTTTTTCTACTTAGTTTAGGACGAGCAGGACGAGGGACCCAAGTATATTAAACCTTTTATTTTAATTTGAGTGATTCTCTTACCTAATAAATTGACATGTTAATACTAGTATAATACCAATATTATTTGATTATAAACACGTTAACACATATCATTCTCTTTGTCTTCTCTTTTCTTTCGATTTAAAAATCGTCCATATCTTACCACCCTCAACTCCACTCCATCACCACCACAACCTAAATCACGAGCAACTCTAGAAAGAGCTCTCAGTAGAAAGAGCTATCAGTAAAAACGCTCCCTAAAGTTAGGAAAAGAATTTTCCGCCCTCTAGGTTTCTCGACCAAAATGGTGCTTTCCGGCGGCCGTTCCTCCTCATCCGGTGATCGGATTTCCTTGGTGGCAATAACAATCGATTCGTCTCATCGGCGCGCTCACATTGAGGGTATTTTGTGTGGTTCTGTCGGCGGGTAAGGGAGTTTCGTTTTTGTCTTCTCTTTCGTTGTTTTCAAGGCTTAGTACGGGATTTTGACGGTGCTTGTGTGTTTGAGCGTTTGTTGTTTCGTGGATCAACCGGATCTACGATTTGGAGAGGGATGGCCACGTTTTGGTGGCTACGGCGTGGTTTTTGGAGGATTTCCGTCGGAGATCGGTCGTTATAGCGTTGACGGCCATTGTTTCCAACCGGGAGTAGACGGCCGCCGTCAAGAAACCGGCGGATCTTGACGGCTAGGGTTTCCCCAAACCCTTGACGGCTAGGGTTTCGGAGGAGGCGAGCGGCTAGGGTTTCGTGGCCGGCGTTGGCGGCTAGGTTGCTTGGTGGGCCTGGGGCTAGGGTTTTCGGCCGTTGTTGGGCGGCTAGGGTTTCTGTGGCCGGTGTTGGGGGCTAGGGTTCCACGGCCGGCGTTGGTGGATCTCGACCGGTGTTGGCGGCTAGGGTTGCTAGGCGGGCCTTCGGGGCTAGGGTTTGGGTAAGGAGTCACAAGGGGTTAGGTTTGAGACGGGGCCTCAATGGCAAGGAAGAAGACCACGGATGCGGCCGGGAAAGGGAAGGGAGTGGCCGGCAATGGAGTTGGCGAGGTGCCGGCTGCCCCCGTTGAATTGCCGATTGTTAATCCGAAAGAGACGACGAAGACGGATCCAATTCCACATGCCGAAACATCAAAGGCAGGAGAGAATAGGGGATCTACAATGGGGCTACACTCCGGCGATGGTGAACGAATGAATTGGTCTCAATTCTTCAAAGGACGCCCGCCACCACCGGAGGATCTGGCGCTGGACTCGGTGAAAGGATTGGACGACACGAACGTCCTCCAATTTGAAGAAGACGACGAGACTGATTGGGGGACGAAGGGCGTGTTTTTGGCCGTTGCTTATTTTCCGGGGAAATTCCCTGGTGTTGAGGCCATACGCGCGATCAAGGCTCAATGGGAGGTCCCGGTGAAGTTTCAGATCCATCCTACGGGGTGGATCGTGTTCAAATTCACAACGGACCAAGATCGAATGTGTTGGGGATCGTGCATGTATACGCAGCGGAATTTAAAAATTTTAGATCGAACTAATTTCGATTACATGCATAAACTAATCACATAGTCAACGTACCTTAACGCTTCCGCCATACATATGGTAATTTTCGATTTAATTGAAAAATACGTAAAACCGAAAATCACGAAACATGCTTATACTTCATTTCACAAAATCGAAACATGTAATCACGTATTACTCATGCTCGCAAATTAATAATCATACAAACATGTTCGAATCGAATTACGAAAGTTCCGATTTAATTACCTCTTGTAGCGTGCGATTTCGACGAATCGAAATCCTAGAACGAGTCACGTACAAGCTGCTAATTACCAATCCACGGGGCTGCAACTCACGGCTGGGCCAAGCTGATCCAGCAAGCGACGAACGGCAGTGAACGGCAGCAGCAGCGGCGGCGCGTGGCAGCGGCAGCGGCGGCGCGTGAACGGCGTATCGGCGCGTGCGGCGGTGCGTGGATTCGTCGGGGCAGCAGCTCCTCTCCAATTAGGTTTCACCTCGTATTTTCGACCCACTCGAACTACAGCACTAGATGTAAACGAGTTAGACAACAACAAGAATAAAACGAAGGAAACGAGAGAAGAAAAACCGGCGGTTTTCCGGCGGTGGTCGGCGGTGGTGCGCCGGTGGAGCAACGGCCGAAGAGGGGAGCGGCTAGGGCTTGAGCGGCTAGGGTTTTGTGCTGAAAATCTGATCTCAAACTCTTGTTTGAGGTCTATTTATACCTAGGGTTTTCAACCCTAGTGGGCTTAAGTCATTGGGCTTGACCCACTGATGCATTAAGCTCATTCCCTCGTTGGCCTCGTTTCTAATAAACGATCGTCCACAAAATTATAACAAAATTATATTTGTGACGAGCTCAAAGTCCTCGTCGATACGAGTGCCTCTTCGAAATTTCCAATTTCCAAAATTGGAAACTTCCACTTCAGTGGACTTGCTAAATCGGGAAACTTCCCAATTTAGAAAGTTCACTAAATTTCGCATTTCTCTCTTTCTCTACGTTTATTCCGATTCGCAATCCACAATTACGAATCTTGGATTCAATCATATCGACATCCAATCGTTCAAAGATTAACACATTAATCTATGCTTGTTGTTATCAAGGATCTATATTACACGAGAAGTGTGACCCTCAATGGTTCAGGTGTATGCTAGCCGTGGGCTCACAACTCTTTGTGATTCGAACAACACATTGTTCTTATACGAACTCCTCCCAAGAGTCCCGATTAGAGTAAAACTCATTTTACCTAATCCCGATCAAATCGGTGCCCAACGAATCAAGATTGGCGTCTAGCAACTACGCATCATGATTCCCTAGATAAAAATGAAGTGCCTGCAAGAACCTTATGATATAGTTAGCGTACAGTACGATCCCTTCGTAGCACATGTCCCGATTGAACTAGAGGCATTGGTTCACCGAGACCTCTTATAAAGTTCAATAACCGTGCGAACGTTCTAGGTATTATAAATCCGTTCGTGTGCGACTTAGGGAAACACATTTCCCTAATCACCCCACTATCAACTCTGGCCAGAGATTCCATGGATTATAAACCGTCAGAACACACAGGACATCCATGACTACTCAAGCGCTCGAATCCCCTACTACAATGCACAGACTTCACACTAGATTTCGGATTGCACGAACGTTGGCCCTTGGAGCGGTCCGCGGTGGGACTCAGGGACAGGTCACGATACAATCGGTCCTCTAGTGAAGTCACGGTGATGTCTGGGTCTTAAGGACTAATGGTGTACAACTATATCTTAGAAACCTATTACTCGATGAATGAGAACCACTTATAGATTTCTAGGGCGAGGGAGTTCAGTGAACTCATCCAGTATGAGCACCCACTCAAGTATGCCGATGTCACAACACCGAGGACTGATGAGACGCAGTACACATACACTAAGTGCTAGTCTCAAAAGGGAAAGGCCGGTATCCTCATTATTGGCGTAACCCATCGACTAGGAACAAGGTTTAACAGTTACATTACATTGCTGAGTTATCTCACGATTCTACTAGATCAACTCACAGTAATAGAGTAACTCGTTAGGACTATATCTATGCTGCTTGCATGGGATAACAGATATAGAATGCCAAATAAGATATTTTATTATTACGAACGAAAAACGATTGTTTTATTACAAAGAAAAGAGAAAGACCACAGCCACAAGTTGGCTTGCCGGTCACCTACTCTAACAATCTCCCACTTGACCTAAAGCCAACTACTCATAAATCTAAGTCCCATCGACTCTCGATGTTTCTCGTGGACTGATCCTGACAATGGCTTGGTGAAGGGATCTGCAATATTGTCCTCCGAGGTGACTCTGTCTAGCTTGACTTCACCTCTCTCTATGATCTCTCGGATCACATGGTATTTTCTCAACACGTGCTTCGACTTCTGATGAGCTCTTGGTTCCTTAGCTTGCGTTACGGCTCCGTTGTTATCGCAGTACAGCCGTACTGGATCGCTAGCGTTCAGAAATACACCCAACTCTTGGATGAATTTCCTAATCCATGACCCTTCCTTTGAAGCATCTGGTGCTGCAATATATTCAGCCTCGGTGGTGGAATCAGCCGTCGTGCCTTGTTTGGAACTCTTCCAACACACGGCACCTCCGTTGACTTTGAATATATACCCCGAGTTTGACTTTGAGTCATCCACGTCCGATTGAAAACTAGAATCCGTGAAGCCTTCTAATTTCAACTCGGTATCCCCATAGACCAAAAACAAATCTCGAGTTCTTCGCAAGTACTTGAGAATGTCCTTCACAGCCTTCCAATGGGCTGGGCCGGGGTCGGACTGATATCTGCTTGTGACGCTCACAGCATACGCAATATCAGGTCGTGTACACAGCATGCCATACATTATGCTTCCTATAGCGGATGCATAAGGTGTCCTTTTCATCTCCTCGATTTCCATTTGCGTTTGTGGACGCATGGATTTCGAGAGACGAACCCCATGGGACATTGGCAAGAATCCCTTCTTGGATTCTTCCATGCTAAACCGTTTAAGAACGGTGTCTATGTACATGGATTGGGACAAGCCAAGCAATCTCCTCGATCTATCTCTATAGATCCGTATTCCTAATACGTAGGATGCTTCTCCCAAATCCTTCATCGAGAAACGTGTGGATAACCATACTTTAGTCGACTGCAACATCCCTACATCATTCCCAATGAGTAGTATGTCATCAACATAAAGTACAAGGAAAGTCACTGCACTCCCACTAACCTTCTTGTAGACACAAGGTTCCTCCGGGTTTTTCACAAATTCAAACTCTTTGATAGTTGTGTCGAACCTTTTGTTCCAACTACGGGATGCTTGTTTCAATCGATAAATGGATCGCTGGAGTTTGCAAACCTTTTGCTCATCTCCAGAAGATATGAAGCCTTCCGGCTGCGCCATGTAAATTTCTTCCTCAATGTCCCCATTAAAGAAAGCGGTCTTCACATCCATTTGCCATATCTCGTAGTCATACCACGCAGAGATGGCCAGCAAAATCCTAATGGACTTAAGCATAGCAACTGGAGAGAAGGTTTCCTCATAGTCAACTCCTTGCTTTTGAGTATAACCCTTCGCTACCAATCTAGCCTTGTAGGTCGATACCTTTCCATATACTCCAATTTTCTTCTTATAGATCCACTTGCATCCTATGGGAACAATTCCCTCGGGTGGATCTACCAAGGTCCATACCTTGTTGGAGTACATAGAGTCCATTTCGGATTTCATGGCATTAAGCCAATGTCCCTTGTCTGTATCCGATACAGCTTCGTTGAAAGTTCTAGGATCACATCCTTGGTCAACTTCATCAACGAGGAATAACCTATCGGGGGCTCTCCGAACTCTTTCGGATCTACGCAGCGACGGTTCAGGAGGTATGTTAGTGGTTTGTTGAATTGGTTCATTATCTGATTGTTGTGCTTGAACTTCAGATTGTGGTTCTCGAACTTCTTCGAGATCAACTACACTGCCCTTTCTATCCCATAGAAATTCCTTCTCAAGGAACACGGCATTTCTCGAGACGAACACCTTTGCCTCGCAAACATAGTAGAATTCGTATCCCATGGAATCCTCGGGATACCCCACAAAATAGCATAGGTCGGATTTTGTATCCAACTTATCTCCCACTAGCCGCTTCACGTAAGCGGGACAACCCCATATCCTAATATGTTTAAACGTGGGTTTCTCGGAGTGCCAAAGTTCATAAGGTGTGGAGTTAACTGCTTTGGTATTAACCCTATTCAGCAAGTACACGGCAGTTAGGAGTGCATGACCCCACAGGTATGCCGGTAGCTCGGTGAACCCCATCATAGATCGAACCATGTCTAACAGTGTTCGATTCCGACGTTCGGAAACTCCATTAAGTTGAGGAGTTCCAGGAGGAGTCCATTGAGACAGAATCCCATTCTCTTTAAGATAGTCTATAAACTCAGTACTTAAGTATTCGCCACCACGATCGGATCGTAGTTTCTTAATACGTCTACCGAGTTGGTTTTCTACTTGGTGTCTAAAATCTTTGAACCTTTCAAAAGTTTCAGACTTATACTTCATTAAGTACACGAAACCATACCTAGAATAATCATCGGTAAAGGTAACGAAGTAGTTAAAACCACCCCTAGCACTAACGCTTAGTGGACCACACACGTCTGAATGGATCAAATCCAAAAGACCCTCGGCCCGTTCCATCTTCCCTTTGAAGGGAGTCTTGGTCATTATTCCTTTAAGGCAGGATACACAAGTTTGAAGTGATTTAACGTCCTCCAAGGAGAACATTCCTTCACTAACAAACTTGTTCATCCTTCCCAAGGAAATGTGACCTAGTCGAGCGTGCCAAAGTTGTGCGGGGTTAAGACTTATATCTTTTCGTTTTGCTGATATAACGTTAATAGGTATTTCACTTGGATTCAGTTCATATAAGTTGTTTATAAGTTGTCCCTTACAAATCATATTTTGTTCCTTTTGTATAATGCAAATCGAATTTCCAAAAACAAAAGTAAAACCTTCATTATCCAAAACAGGAATTGAAATAAGGTTTCGAATAAGTGACGGAACAAATAAACAATTGTTCAAAACAATGGAAAAACTAGAATCCAAAACAGAAAGATAAATTGTCCCAATGGCTTCAGCAGCAACCCTTGCTCCGTTGCCCATTCTTAGGTAGGTCTCACCCACATTAAGCCTCCTACTTCTTGTCATGAGCTGCAAATCATTACAAAGATGTGAGCCACAACCAGTATCCAATACCCAAGCAGAAGATTTAACAGACAAATTAACTTCAACCAAATACGTACCCTTTTCAGAACGTTTCTGATCGAGGTAAGCCTTGCAGTTGCGTCGCCAATGGCCCTTCTTTCCACAATGATGGCAAGTGTCATCAACTTGCTTGGTGACCTTGTCATTCTTCACTCCGCTCGACTCGCCCTTCTCAAGTTTCTTGCTCGGGCCGAAACTCCTTTCTTTCCTTTTCTTCTGCAAAGAACCTTTCTTCGCAGAAGGAGCAACTAGGAGAACAGATTTCTCCTTCTTGATCGTGGACTCATAGCTGACCAACATGTTCAACAACTCATCCAATGGTGGATCGAGCTTGTTCATGTTGAAGTTCACTATGAACGATTCATAAGAACTAGGAAGGGACAGTAGGATCAAATCCACCGAGAGCTCGGCCGGGAGGGTGACATCAAGGTTCACCAACTTCTCAAGGAGAGTGATCATCTTGAGACCGTGTTCGTGGACCGAAGCCCCTTCACGCAGCCTCATGGTGATCAACTCCTTGGTAGCTGAGTACCTCGATGCCCTAGTATTCTCACTGTACATGCTTTCAAGATGATGCTTGATATCATAAGCATGCACGTGAGACTCATACTTCCTCGCGAGCTCTGGCACCATGGATGCTAGCATGTAGCACCTTGCATGGAGGTCGTCCTTCTTCCATGCCTCGAAAGTGGCAGTCTCGTCAGCAGTAGCAGTCGCAGGAAGAGCAGCGGGGGGACGTTCATTGAGCACATAGAGACGCTCCTCGACTTGGAGCACAAGTTTCAGATTGCGAAGCCAATCCAAATAGTTTGGACCGGTGAGTTTGTTTTGGTCGAGGATAGAGGAAAGGGGATGTTTGGACATTGTTGTTGAGAAAATTTTAAGAAGACAATAATTAGAGTTTAGTTCGTAATAATCGTTACAATTAAAATTTTGGACTTTTATGTTTTAATTGTTCTCCCACTAATTTTATCGAATTCCACCACCCTCTAGCAGACAATCGAGAAAACTTATTTTTCTTTAATGGGCTTTAGGTCCAATAGCGCTAATGTAACCCGTAGTTAATCTATCCCGATTACATAAGCCTAAAGGTAGAGTACTATCAATCACATCACTATGTGACCCTAAAGATCGATTTACCTCACACTTGATAATGACCTAAGTTAATCTAGCGAATATCAAAATCTTCGTGTGTCAAGTCTAGCCTACCAATATGAGATGTCATAGATCCAACTCTATCAAACTAATGCAATCCCTAGTTAATCTAGCCGACCACATTAATCCAACATAATTTTATCTATGACCGTATCTCCATCTAATGTCAATTAAATTACAGCTTATCCCACAATAGCACTCCCCGCTAACACGGCTTACTGCACTATTATGAGAGGCTACACATAATTTAATTGTTGGTAGAAGGAAAGAAAAATTCAACAATTTGGTTTTTCTTTATAGCTTGATAATTATTCTTAATTAAGAATGAGGGATTTTATTTATTAAATTTTATTAGCTCATCGGAAGTTTTAGGTTATGATCGTTTGTGATTCCTACAACTATGTTCTCTAGGTATGTGGAAACGCATATTGATCCTAAGAGAGACATACGATCATCATCGTACTTAATCACAATTATTCATCTCATGAATTAATTAATTAATACGATAAATTGCAAATATAATTAACGGACCTCCTTCATTCATAAATCAATCAAATAAGAATGAAGTCCATTAGTTATTTGCAATCTAATTTGTGTTCCATTAATTAAACTAATTTAACGATTAAATTAAATAATTAATCCAACACTATTCTTTGAATTCAAATTAAATTAATGGATCAATTATCTAATTTGGGTTTAATTGGGTTTTTTTTTTGTTGTGCTGACCGGACCGGTCCGACCGGACCGGTTCGGTCAGCTGAAAAACAGCAGCAAAAATCGAATTTTTTCAAAATTAAAAATTTTAATATTTTCTGAAATATTCAAAATATTTAATTAATATTAAAACACTCAATTAGATAACACCAATAATTCAACAATTCAACAAATCGAAGCATGCTTTCGAAAACGATAAACACGTTGACAAATAAACGATTAACCCGTGGCTCTGATACCACTGTTGGGGATCGTGCATGTATACGCAGCGGAATTTAAAAATTTTAGATCGAACTAATTTCGATTACATGCATAAACTAATCACATAGTCAACGTACCTTAACGCTTCCGCCATACATATGGTAATTTTCGATTTAATTGAAAAATACGTAAAACCGAAAATCACGAAACATGCTTATACTTCATTTCACAAAATCGAAACATGTAATCACGTATTACTCATGCTCGCAAATTAATAATCATACAAACATGTTCGAATCGAATTACGAAAGTTCCGATTTAATTACCTCTTGTAGCGTGCGATTTCGACGAATCGAAATCCTAGAACGAGTCACGTACAAGCTGCTAATTACCAATCCACGGGGCTGCAACTCACGGCTGGGCCAAGCTGATCCAGCAAGCGACGAACGGCAGTGAACGGCAGCAGCAGCGGCGGCGCGTGGCAGCGGCAGCGGCGGCGCGTGAACGGCGTATCGGCGCGTGCGGCGGTGCGTGGATTCGTCGAGGCAGCAGCTCCTCTCCAATTAGGTTTCACCTCGTATTTTCGACCCACTCGAACTACAGCACTAGATGTAAACGAGTTAGACAACAACAAGAATAAAACGAAGGAAACGAGAGAAGAAAAACCGGCGGTTTTCCGGCGGTGGTGCGCCGGTGGAGCAACGGCCGAAGAGGGGAGCGGCTAGGGCTTGAGCGGCTAGGGTTTTGTGCTGAAAATCTGATCTCAAACTCTTGTTTGAGGTCTATTTATACCTAGGGTTTTCAACCCTAGTGGGCTTAAGTCATTGGGCTTGACCCACTGATGCATTAAGCTCATTCCCTCGTTGGCCTCGTTTCTAATAAACGATCGTCCACAAAATTATAACAAAATTATATTTGTGACGAGCTCAAAGTCCTCGTCGATACGAGTGCCTCTTCGAAATTTCCAATTTCCAAAATTGGAAACTTCCACTTCAGTGGACTTGCTAAATCGGGAAACTTCCCAATTTAGAAAGTTCACTAAATTCCGCATTTCTCTCTTTCTCTACGTTTATTCCGATTCGCAATCCACAATTACGAATCTTGGATTCAATCATATCGACATCCAATCGTTCAAAGATTAACACATTAATCTATGCTTGTTGTTATCAAGGATCTATATTACACGAGAAGTGTGACCCTCAATGGTTCAGGTGTATGCTAGCCGTGGGCTCACAACTCTTTGTGATTCGAACAACACATTGTTCTTATACGAACTCCTCCCAAGAGTCCCGATTAGAGTAAAACTCATTTTACCTAATCCCGATCAAATCGGTGCCCAACGAATCAAGATTGGCGTCTAGCAACTACGCATCATGATTCCCTAGATAAAAATGAAGTGCCTGCAAGAACCTTATGATATAGTTAGCGTACAGTACGATCCCTTCGTAGCACATGTCCCGATTGAACTAGAGGCATTGGTTCACCGAGACCTCTTATAAAGTTCAATAACCGTGCGAACGTTCTAGGTATTATAAATCCGTTCGTGTGCGACTTAGGGAAACACATTTCCCTAATCACCCCACTATCAACTCTGGCCAGAGATTCCATGGATTATAAACCGTCAGAACACACAGGACATCCATGACTACTCAAGCGCTCGAATCCCCTACTACAATGCACAGACTTCACACTAGATTTCGGATTGCACGAACGTTGGCCCTTGGAGCGGTCCGCGGTGGGACTCAGGGACAGGTCACGATACAATCGGTCCTCTAGTGAAGTCACGGTGATGTCTGGGTCTTAAGGACTAATGGTGTACAACTATATCTTAGAAACCTATTACTCGATGAATGAGAACCACTTATAGATTTCTAGGGCGAGGGAGTTCAGTGAACTCATCCAGTATGAGCACCCACTCAAGTATGCCGATGTCACAACACCGAGGACCGATGAGACGCAGTACACATACACTAAGTGCTAGTCTCAAAAGGGAAAGGCCGGTATCCTCATTATTGGCGTAACCCATCGACTAGGAACAAGGTTTAACAGTTACATTACATTGCTGAGTTATCTCACGATTCTACTAGATCAACTCACAGTAATAGAGTAACTCGTTAGGACTATATCTATGCTGCTTGCATGGGATAACAGATATAGAATGCCAAATAAGATATTTTATTATTACGAACGAAAAACGATTGTTTTATTACAAAGAAAAGAGAAAGACCACAGCCACAAGTTGGCTTGCCGGTCACCTACTCTTACAGAATGAAGGTGGTGGAGATGGGGAAGTTTGAGCATGGTCTAGCGACGCTATACATTCGCACCATGCCGGATTTCTTCAATTTCGACATCAACGACATGATGTTTGTACCGGTTTGGGTGATCATCCGCAACATCTCTGCGGAACTCTACAACAAAAAGGCGTTGAGTAAGATTGCTCAGAAGATAGGCAAACCGGTCCAAATGGATCAAGTTACGAGTGAGATGGGGAGGCTTGGGTTTACACGCCTCCAAGTGGAGGTGGACGCGTCCAAACCATTACGACGGTCGCTCACATTGATTAATGCGAAAGGCAAGAGTTATGAGGTCCCAATCGAATATAGCCACGAACCGGTTTTTTGTTCGAAATGCCAAACCCTTACGCACAAGACGGATCAATGTAGAGCGGAGGTAGTGCTAAAGCGTGGACGAGGCCGTAAGCCTAAACCAGTGGTGAGTGTTGCACAAGAGCCACCGGTGAAAACGGTTTGGGCGGGCAAGAGGACGGTGCTCAGCGAGGAACCGGAGTTGGAAAAGGAGAAGGAAACCGTGAATGTGGAGGATGGGGTTTCGGAGGATGGATCGACCGAGTGCTATGTTGTGGATGATGAGGACCGGGGCTCATTGGTGGAGTTTAATGCCCTAGACTCCCCAAAATCCCCGGGAACAGCCCCAAGACGATGATTACTACCAAAAAGAAGAACCTCCAACCGGATGCGATCCTGATGCCCAAGGCGAGCGAATCAAGTTCGGTGGTAGCAATTGACCCGAAGTTAGTACGAGAGGAATGCGCTGATGTGGAGCCGCGGGGGGGCCTCAAACCCCCACGGTTGATATGATAGTGGGATGTTGGAATGTGAGGGGGTTGCTCAACGCCCTCACGCAAAAGGAGGTCGGGGACCTCATAGGTAAGCACAAACTCGCAGTTTGTGGCTTACTGGAAACAAAGATCTGGGACCCGGGGACGCTAAACTCTATCATGGAATGGCGCTTCCGGCATTGGAAGAACATCAACAATTTTCACCTCCACACGGCAGGCCGGATTCTCATCGTATGGAACCCGGATGTGGCTCGGGTGGAATGCGTTGATATGACGTCGCAGGTGGTCCTTTGCAAGATAACATGTATGGTCACTCAACGGCTATATTATGCTAGCTTTGTGTATGGACTCTTCACGCCGGTGACGAGACGGCCGTTGTGGCAGTCACTAGTGGAATTTGGGAGGGGCGTCGCTGCCCCTTGGTTTTGCTTGGGTGATTTTAATGTGGTGCTCAAACCCGAGGAGAAATCAGGAGGTAACTTGCTTACACCTTACTTGTTGAATGATATTCAGAATTGCTTTCGACAGAGTGGTCTGGAGGATCTACCCTCCACGGGATTTCAATATACATGGACGAACCACACGGTGTGGAGCAAACTCGACCGTGCGCTTGCAAACCAATATTGGCGTGACGAATTTGTGGGCAGTGCGGTACAATTCCTCCCTTTTGGGGCGGTGTCGGACCACTCTCCAATTATTGTGCAACTGGGAGGAACCGAGCCCCCGGCATCTAGACCCTTTCGGTTCTTCAACATGTGGACGCAGCACGACAATTTTCTTAACGAAGTGAGAGCGGTATGGACGGCCAGCTACCGGGGCAGCCGACAGTGGGCCGTTAGCAAGAATCTCAAGGCCCTTAAACACCCACTTAAGCGCTTCAACCGACGTGAATTCGGACATATATCTGAACGGGTGCACCGTGCGGCCGAAGAGCTTGAGGAATCCCAACATCTCTACCACAACGATCCCCATAACCAACAATTGTGTGGAGAGATGCTGGCAAAAGTGGAGAAATTTCGGTTCTTGGCAAAAGCGGAGAAGAGTTTTTTCTACCAAAAGGCGAAACTTCACCATTTACGAGATTCGGATCGTACGATGAAATTCTTCCATGGGATTGCTAAGCGGAATGTTAAACGGAACAACATTGTATCAATTCGCAGGGAGGATGGTTCGGTCACTACCTCTAGGGATAAGGTACTTGGAGAATTCGAGACCTTTTATCGAAATTTCTTGGGCTCCCGTACTACGTGTGAACCGGTCGACCCCCACATTATTGCCACGGGACCGATACTAGGAGATGAGGATCGGGAGGGGCTGATTCAACCGGTGATGGGGGTGGAGATTCGGGAAGCTCTGTTTGATATCGCTGACGATAAAGCACCGGGGCCGGATGGGTATACGGCCCTTTTCTTCAAAGCGGCATGGTCCACTGTGGGACCACTCCTTACGGAGGCAGCCATGGAGTTCTTTCGAAGTGGCGAGTTGCTTAAACAGTGGGATAACACGGTCTTGGTTTTCATACCAAAATCAGCCCATGCCGAAGCAGTGGGTGATTTTCGGCCAATAGCGTGTTGTAATGTCATCTACAAGGTGATCGCAAAGGTTATTACGAAGCGAATTGAGAAGGTGTTGCCCTCTATTATAGATCAGGCCCAATCTGCTTTTGTGAGTGGGCGATCTATAACGGATAATATTCACATGGTAGAGCAACTTATGAGGGGTTATGAGCGCAAACGGATTTCCCCCCGGTGCTTGATCAAGATGGATTTACGGAAGGCCTACGATTCTGTAAATTGGGATTTCTTGCGTTCGATGTTGGTGGGGTTAGGGTTCCCGGATGCGGTGGTCCGATGGATTATGGAGTGTGTGACATCGGTTTCCTATACGGTGTCGGTTAACGGTGTGACGAAGGGATTTTTTTCCGGGGATGAGAGGACTTCGACAAGGGGACCCGTTATCACCTTATCTCTTCGTGATATGCATGGAATATCTGTCGAGATTGTTGCACGTTCGATCGATGGAGCAAGAGCTCAATTTCCACCCGATGTGCCACATGCACAAGTTGACGCACCTCATCTTTGCCGATGATTTGATGCTTTTTTCGAGAGGCGATGTCGCCTCCTTTCGTACGCTTGCCACCACGGTGCTTAAGTTTAGGAGAGCATCGGGGCTTCTTGTGAACAACTTGAAGTCGAATTTATTTCTCGCCGGAGTCCCTGAGGCCGACCGTACGTCGATTGAGGAGGAATTCCGCTTTGCCACCGGAACCTTCCCATTTCGATGCTTAGGTATTCCTCTCGCTGCGTCAAAACTTCGAGTGCTGAATTACCAACCTCTTTTGGACAAAATCGAGCATGCCATTGGAGTATGGAAGGGCCATACGCTATCGTACGCTGGCCGGTTGGAGATCTTGAAAGCGGTTGTTCAAGGTACGTGTTGCTATTGGCTGTCGATTTTCTCGATTCCGATTACGGTTATTGGATATATTGAAGACATGGCTAGGGACTTCCTGTGGGGCACTAGTGCTCCCAAAGTGGGATGGGAGTATTTGTGTAAACCGAAGTCCGATGGGGGGCTGGGGCTTCGGTGTTTGCGCACGTGGTATCGTAGCTTGCTAGTGAAGGACCTATGGGATATCCACTTGAAAAAGGACTCCCTATGGATCCAATGGGTTAACGAGTTCTATCTCAAGGGAACGGCCGTGTGGGAATGGCAACCGTCGCCGACTTCACCCCCGTATTTTAAAAATATTTGTCGAATTAGGGATGAAATCGTGGGCAATGCGGGTTCCATTCCATTGCTTCTTGCTCGATTGGAGACGTTCTCGAGCATGGGGAAGATTACAGTAGGTCGGGTCTATGACTGGATTAGGGCCCCAACCGGGGGGCCGCCATGGGGCCGACGGATTTGGGACCACTCGATGACTCCCAAGCACTCTTTCATTCTTTGGTTAGCTGCGCCCTTGATCGGTTGCAAACCCTTGAGAATGTGGCAACTTTTCAGATCGTTAAGAAGACTTGTGTGAAGTTTGGGGGTGTGTTAAGTGTATATTTTTACACTTTATCGTATCTTTTTATTTGAGCTTTTGGTGTGTTTTAACGATAATTGGTGCTTAAAAAGTTGATTTATTGTATTTTAGGTACAAATTGAAGAATTGGAAAAGTATGGGGTCAAAACTGCAATTTTGGAGAAAATATGGGCCAAAAGTGAAAAAAAGCAGAATTCTGGAGAATAGACCGCGCGGCCGTGCGGATTTTAGGCATAAATCTCACACGGCCGTCCGGATGGGCGAGTTGGCGCAGTGAAGGAATCTTAATTGTACAAGGAAACTGCCTTCTTCCCCAAGTTTTTCACCCTATATAAGACCAAGCCAAGCACACAATTAGGGATCGATCTTCTTACGCAATTTCAAGAGCAACAAAGCAATAACGAAGACGAAGAATACGAAGACTTCAAGAAAAGATTTATCGTCTATGATTTATATTATTTGCGTTTTTGATTTAATCATGAGTAGCTAATTTTCTTATTTCTAGGATTTTGTTTGGAACCCTATGTGGGATTTATGAACCCTTTTCTATGATTTTATGCAAGTTTTAAATTCCGGATTATTTCTTCTACTTGTTTTATTAAGTGCATGAACTTGATCAACTTATGTGCTTTTATGTTATTGTTAATCGCATGAATCGGAAGATCGGGTTAATAATTAGAACTGTGGTAGAAGAGCCTTTGTGGTATTAACATAGGAATATAGTTAATCTCTTAGGTAGCCATTATTGAGATTTGTGTTTAATGCTGTGTTCTAGAATTAATTGCATAGGAATATAGTAATTGAATCTAGAGTATTAGAATCGTAATACACGCGGAAGCGGGTTATGATTAAATTAGCATCTCAGGTTAATAATCCGGGTTAATTGCTTGCATAATTGAAGGAATTGGGGGAGTAATAATCACATAGGGGGAAGAATAAAATCCTAGGCTTGTTTACTTTGATTAAATCTTCGTTTTAATTGCTTTCTTGTTTTTGTCTTTTTAATTGCTTTAGTTTAATTTAGTTAATTCTCTCCAAATTCGACTGTGTAGGGTGGGCTTGATAACAATTGGTAGGATTTAGCGTCTAGGATTAAATAATTAAATATTCTCTGTGGGATCGATATCCGGACTTAATTGTCCACTTTATTACTTGTACGATACGTGCACTTGCGTGTAGGTTTTCGACCAACAAGTTTTTGGCGCCGTTGCCACTTATTCTTTCGGTGCAGCATCTCGAGAGACGTATGGGACCGCATCCGTGTATGGCTGGGGATCTCACAAAGACCAACTACGCTACGGGCTGCCCTGAATGGCTCGTAAAGGATGTAAAGGGAAAATCGTACCGAAGCAAGACGAGGAGATGTGCTTTGGCGAGTGTAGTTTATCACATTTGGGAGGCTCGGAACAAACGGAGGTTCGACATGACGGAGACTACGGTAGCCGCCCTTACTCGGAGGATTCAAACCCATGTTTACTCAGCTATGTTCATGCAGTATCCGGAATTGATGACCAGCAGTGGAGGCCGGTTCATCATCGGCCAAATTGACGCCAACTAGGGCTAGGGGGCTAACCCCAACCGTTATTTCTTTCTTTTTATGACTGGTTTTTGGTTTTATGCTTTTCGATAGCTTGTAGCTATCTCTTACTCCCTCAATTCCCTCGGGTATGCCCGTTGTAATTGTCTACGACTTTTTTTGATTTATACTATTTACATCTTCAATAAAAAAAAAAAAAAATCACGAGCAACTTTCGAAAGTCTACGGCGGAGACCATGATGACAACGCGACGAAAAGAATTTTGCGACGACGGTATTTTTTCGCGAGTGGAGCGAGAA